AGCAAAGCAAAGCTTCTTTTCCTCCTTTCTTTATTGTACTGTAGTTCACATACAGTAAATGCACAGATTTTGAGTAGCACTTGATTAAATATGACAAATGGTTTTATACCTATTATAATTATACTCTGTGGCTGCTATTAACAGTTGCCACATTGAATTCAAGTTACCAGATTTATTATCTTAGAAGTTCAACACAAATCTTAATTGATTCATATCAAGGTGTCAGTCAGACTGTGTTCCTTTCTGGAAGCTCCAGGAGAGCATCCACTCTCTAGCTTTTGTAGCTCCTGAAGGCCACCCACATTCCTCAGCTTGTGGCCCCCTCCTCCATCTTCATAATTATCGGTGGAAATTTGAGTCCTTCTCACATTGCTTCTCTGTGTTCTCCTCTCCTGCCTCCCTCTTCCACTTTTCAGGTCCCTTGTGATCACCTTGAATAATCCAGGATTATCTCCTCACTTTAAGGTCAGCTAATTAGCATCCTTGATTTTATCTGGTACTTTAATTCTGCTCTGGCATATGAGTGACATTCCACTCTACTTTGTAAGGTGACAGCACTCATAGATTCCAGGGGTTAAGGTGTGGACATCTCCGGGGGCCATTTTCCTGACATTTGTCAGAACTGACTACTACTACCCTAAGGAAGACTTTTCCTTCCCTCTGGAAAGTTCTTTGATCCCTTTGGTAGTCTTTTTCCCATCATATCCCTTGAGGCAACTGTCCTTTTGGTATGTCTTGCCATTAGTCTGGTAACTTTGCCTGCTCTGGGCCAGATTTCCCTCACACCTGCCAAGTGGGGTGGCATGAAAACTTTGGAAAGTATAATCTCTGTGACTTTTGGCTCTTGGGTTTGGGGAAGGGGTGATGGATGGGAATAGGTTCAGGGAGGGAGCGGGCAGGAAGTCCGGTGGAGCTGAGGGCTAGGGCCCACATGTGCCTGGCTGCTCTGGCCTTGGGGCATACCTAGAGTGACAGCCCTGAGGCAGTGCTTCTCTCTCCTCCCTCAGGTGCTGAGAGCAGTTTATTGCAGAAAGGATTAGAGAACAGATCCATGGACTCGTAGGGCCTGATCTCTCTGAGTTGAGATGGCACCGGGCACCAGAGAGGAGCATGTGAACACCTCCCGTAGCCACAGGCTATAACAGAAGCCCTGCTTGAGGGCCCTCCTGTGCCACCCTGTTCTTCTGTGGGGGAAGCTTCTTAGTTCTTCACCCATGTGGCCCTCAGCTTTCACTTCTCTTACAGAGGACCCTGTGCTTTATTCCTGGAGACAGTTGCTTTCCTTCCCCACTACCATTATTGGGCCCAACCTGAGGTCTGACCTCTGGCCCCACTTGCCTTGCCTCACTCTACCTGGGTATCCTGGTGAGATTACATTTTTCAAAGTGAGTTTGAATGTCCCCGGGCTATAGTAGACCAGGTAACCAACACTATCTTTAAGGTGCCCACATCTTTCAAAAAGGAGTAGTGATCATCACTGCTCATCAGAATCTTGGTAGAAGGTGATGCATGGGGAGGTTTGCCCCAAGTGGCTAGCGCCTCATAAGCAGACTGTGATGGTCTCCTTGGGGCTTTAGACCACCACCAAGTGCTGTCATTGTGCCAGTGAGGAGTGGGGTTTTAGAAGTGTTGTCATTTTCTTGGGTGACACTTGATAGTAAGTTCTGGAGCTAAAGCCTAGGTCTCTCTGACCCTAGAAACAGTTTTCTCACCACTGTGCCATCCCCCCCTCACTGCTCACAGAGCTGCTGCACTGTGACATTTCATGTTCATCTTATGTAATAGCAGCAGAAACACAGAGCTAGTACCGTCAGGCCCTGGGCCGTGGCATCCCTTTCGTGTGGGTTCAGGGAGGCCGGTCATCTTGCCCATAGTCCCAGAGCAAGTGGGTGAGGGGCCTGGGATTCAGACCAGCAGTCACTGGAAAGCCTGCCCTGCTGACCGCTCCATTAAGAAAAGCTTCCTTTCTTTGGAGCACTGATTGCATTGTTCCTTTTTGTAACTGATAGGCCTCTCCTTTCACTGCTGAGTCCTTGGAGCCAAGTCTGAGTCTCCCTTGGATTCTCTCTGCCCCATCTTCCAATCACCACCCTCTCCTCATTTTGTTTGTAAGCTTCCTTGTATCTTCCTTGTATCTGTTGTCCATTTTATTGTTTTAGGGAGCTCATTCTCTTGATAAACCTGCTTCAGGTCCTGGAGGGACTGACTGGTAATAAATAATGCAAAATAAACATCCTGGCCACTGCAGAAACACGTACGGAAGCTCAGACTCCTCAGGGCCTTGCCTTTCTGTCCTTTCAGAAGAGCGTTCCTTGCTCTGAAGGAGTCGGGTAACGTCGGTAAGGCTGGCTGGCTGGCTGTTACGCAGTGTGGCTTGCAGCAAGCCGTGTATATGCTGCCCAGCACTGGCACAGATTGGGCAGACTTCATTCATTTATTTGTTTGTTTTTTAATTAAAGTACTTTTGTTTGCTTGAATGACCAGACTGTCCCCGAATGCTTTTAAAGAGGTCTCCATGCAGCGGTAGCAGCCGAAGCAAATTGGCCGTAGGGGCCACAGAGTCGGGGAAGAGTCTCCTACAACTGCAGATGTAGGCCGAGGTAGTGTTTGTCTTGGTGTGAAGTCTAGCCCCCATTATCAGACAACTGTAGGCTGTACTGTTCATTCTCACGTGTCTCATTTTGTTTGTGGATGCGTTGGCTATAAAAGCTGTGAACATCTGGAACTTGCATTCTTATTGTTTGAACAGTTTTCCGGAATTAATTTATCTGGTGGTATTTTGTCAGGTCCATTGCAGTGAGGAGGGATCTAACTGGGGGGAACCAGTTACAAGGAGCCATAAAATGTTTGGTCATAGTGACTTTAACCAGATAATTAGGGAGTGCCTACTGCATGCTGGACTCCTTCTAGGAGTTCTAGAGGCAGCTGCCGGCCACACAGGGAGGCCCCCGTCTTCGTAGAGTTTACACTCTGCATGAGACGGACAGCGAGCCGGTAAACAGTGAATGCAAGTGTCGTTTCAGAGCATGCTGTTGGTGTGAAGAGAATAAAACAAGGCAGGTGAGGATAAGCGGTTGGCCTGAGAGCTGCTTTAGGGATGGCCGCATTGGAAAGGTGACATTAGTGATGACAATAGAAGATAAGGGCCTGCCCATGCAAAGAGCCAGGGGCAGCAAGAGAAGAGGACAGTGGCATTGAGTATCTGCTATAGAACTATCTCCTGACTCTTGGGTCACTTTCACAGGGATAAAAGTCTATTTTAGTAAATGGCCTTCAGGCTGGTAATCAAATCACCACTCTCTGTCCTCACCAGGCTGCCAGTTCCATAGGGGAGAGTCCGGGTCCTTTTTGTTCACCATTATTTCTCTTCTACCCAACACAGCACACTCACGACAGCTGCACAGTAGCAGGCGGAAGGAAGGATGGAATGGGAGGAAGCTGACAGTAAACCAAAGGCAGTAAAGGACAAGCTAGGGCACTCAGGGTTTAAGCTCTGTTCAGTGGTGGGAGTCTTGGAGGACTTCGTGACATGTGGAATGATAAGGCTGAGCAATCAAGGAGCCGGGAGATGTCTGTGAACATTCGGCAGTAGATGGAGGAGAAAAGATAGAACCAGACAGCACGTGTAGGAAGAATCGATCCTGTGTTGTATGTAAGAAACAACCAGAAGTCAAGAATAGCGAGAGGGAGAAGAAAAGACGCAATCAAGAAATTCACTGTGGGCACGTGGGACAGATGTTTGTTAATGCGGCATGTGGGCCAGTGGCCAGAAGGGTTGAAGTGACTAGTGACATGTTGACAGGTGGGAAGCATGGCAGCTCTCCAGGGAGTCCTGAATCAGGCGTTGTGGGGCGTATATAGGCCAGCGTGGGAGGAGTTGGGGACCACTGAAGGCTTGGTAGGATTTTAGTTCTTTCCAGAATTGGAAGCCTAGGGCTTTCCTGTACAGGGAAACTTTCCATCTTCCCAAATGGGAGGGTATGAAATTGGCGGAAAGACCCACTGGGAGAAGCAGATACACTGTTTGGAGCTTTGTTTTGTTCCTCTGGAAATTACCATATTGTATTTTTATGTAAATAATTCACAACAGCGTGGCACTTTTGGGGTGGGGGGGGGCGGGGAGTGAATACTCATAATTGAAGTTGAGATACCATATTGTGTTTTTACATCAACAATGCATACTCTTGCTTGCAGTAGGTCCAAAAACAAATGTGTATCCGAGAGGCAGCTACCTGTTAACTTTGAGCTTTCTCACCTAACCACTCTTATCTGTCCTTTAAAGTCTTATTTGAAAATCCCTTTTTTCATGAAGATTTTGAAATCAGTCCAGCCCAGTGTCCTCTTCACCAGCTCTGAGCTTCTACAATATAATCATGTGTCTTCCTGAGCGCTTTTGACTTCTGTGTGTCAGTCTGACTTACAGATGTGTCATCCTTACCCGTTAGTGACCCCTGTGGGCATCGGACACCTGACTCATCTCTATGTCACTTATCAGGCTGTGCACAGGAGGGGAGCACGGAGAAGTCCTTGAACAGGACCACCCTGCAGTCATTTCCAGGACTGGAGATGTAGTTTATTGGTAGAGTGTTTGGCTAGCACGTTCAAGATCCTGGGTTTGATCCCTGGTATCACAAAAAATTAAACAAACACACTTTCCCATTCCATTGTTTCTGGAGTTGTTTGGTGTGTGTACAGGAGTGGTAAGGGTTATTCTTAGTCGGCTGAAGTCTACCCACCACACTTCAGCAGATTCCACAGCCTTTGTGGCTGCTCTGTGCACGTTTGTTTGGAAGGTTCTGTGTTAAAACCTCAGGCCTTAGACCACAGAGAATGATGGTCTCTGGAGCATGTTAACCTTGGTCTCAGGAGAGACTAGTAAGATTTGTAACTGGCTCTGATCTCCGCTGAATTTGGGCATCTCATGTGGGGTTTAGTACCTGGTCTGTCACTGCACTGAAAAGCTATGGTTTGTTTTTTTTTTTTTTCTTTTTTTTTGGCAGCACTCCTTTTTCTGCAGGCTGACGGAAGATAAGAAGTCAGAAAAGTTCTTTAAGGTCTTTTATGACCGAATGAAGCTGGCCCAGCAGGAAATTAAGGCAACCGTGACTGTGAACACCAGTGACTTGGGAAATAAAAAGAAAGATGATGAAGTAGACAGGGATGCCCCATCTCGGAAAAAAGGTAATGCTCTTCATCTTCTACCAGCTGGACTGGGAACCAAGAGAGATGTGGTGTTTTCCTTGATGCTTCCTTACTTCTAGGCTGCACTGTGACTAGAGCCTTCCATAGAGAACAACCAATCTGGGTAGGATATGAGTCTTCAAAGTGACCATGCTGAGGTCCTGCTACTTAGGGAGTCTTCTTTAATAAATTAGTGAGCATTCTTCTTAGTCAAGTAGGTTTTATTGGTAGATTTTGAATATTCTTTTCCTGTGACTTCCATTCACAGAAAATGGAGAGAAATGTGTACTTTAAAACTGGTATCACTCATTTATCAGTAATGTTTCCTTATTTCCTGAAGCATTAAGAAGTTTATCTGTGATCTCACTGATAGAGAAAAATGGGTATACCTACAAGTTTTGGAGTCCAGCAGCCTTGAGCAAATTAATTAAATACTCCAAGCCTTATTTTTCAAGATTAGAGCTGGATTGCTCAACCAAGCACAGTTGAAATCTGGAGAACGTCTTGTCATAGGATTTGTCCTGCACGTTGTAGCATATTTAATAGCATAAGTGGCCTCTATGCAATTAGATGTCAGCTGCATGCCTCCACCCTGAACCAAAAATGTCTCCAGACATTCTCACTTGTCTATAGGGACAGAACAGAATCCTGGTTAAGAGCCTCTCATCTAGAATGGGGATAAAGAGAAGAAAAGCAAGAATGCATATCATTTACTAGATACTTAGTATGCACCAGGTATGTGTTAGCTTTCAGTCACTGTAACAGATACCTGAGATAAGTCAATTTCTACTGTCCTGTATTTCCTTGCTGAAAGAAACTGTCAGTGAGGCATTGGTTGATTAGCTTTGTATGTCTATATGTGTTTTCATGAGAAACTACATTGAAGATATCAATATGTAATACAATAAGCATTGTTAATTCCATACCACTCTGTTTGTAACTCTGTAATGTCTGTACTGATCCTTTGCTATTTTGTAAAACGTTGTCGGTCTGTTAGTATTTTCCTCCTTTTATTTCTAAAAAAAAAAAAGAAAAGAAAAAGATATATTTTGGCTCACAATTTCAGAAGTTTTAATCCATGATCAACGGACCCTGTGGGCTTTGGGGCCTGACCCAAGGTAGCTCATCATGATGGGAGAGTATGCAGAACAAAAGTATGCAGGCTAAGAAGCAGAAAAGGAAGAAAAGATCAGGATCCCACAGCATTTTTAAGGGGACACCTTTGGTGTCCTAAGACCTCTCCTGGGCCCCATCTCTTAATGACTATACTTCCTCCTGGTGGCACTGCAGCGCGGGACTAGAGCTTTAGCATAAGGCCCTTCAGCACACATTCCAGAGCCAAACTGTAGCAAGCCACTGCTCAAAGGTTTTTACTGCATCAGTTTGTTTAAAGCTCAAGTTAACCCTTTACAGTAGGTTACATTGTTACTAGTTTCTAAATAGGGAAACTGAGGCACAGGTGTGGTGATTAACTTATTACAGACTTGCAGCTAGAAAGCAGTGGAACCAGCATTCAAACCCATGCAAGTCTGGGTGCAAAGTCTGTGTTTATAGTGCCCGGGTCGTATCACAGGGTTGTGTGGAAGACCAGCCAAGACAGTACATACAAAATGCTTCATCATGGTGTCTTGGCATTTTGTAAATGGGCATTCACTTATCAGTACAGTAACAATAATTACAGTAGTAATTAGCATTATGTTAAGCCGCTTGGGAACCTTCTGGAGATAGAATTCACCGATGCGCTCCCATTTTACAGAGGAGAAAGCTGAGGTTTCGAGCCTTAGATTCCTGAGGTCAACAGAGCCTATGCTGAGGGTTTTCCTCTAAAAACATAGTACAGGCCCAGATGAAGTGAGAGACCTGCAGCAGGCTGGCAGGGCTTGACTCCAGTTTCATTCTGCCTATGAACTGAGAGGAGAGAGGGACTTCCTGCAGTATTTTGCCAGCCTGTGGATCTCTAGTGAATACTAGAATCTCTTTTCTAACCGGTCTTTATTGTGTTAAGTGGTGCTCCTGAGGACACAGTGGCCTTGACTGTCTCACGCTGGTTTTCTAGCAAAAGAACCCTCAACACAGATAACAGAAGAGGTCCGGGATCAGCTCCTAGAGGCATCCGCTGCCACCAGAAAAGCTTTCACCACCTTCAGGAGGGAGGCCGACCCTGACGACCACTACCAGCCGGGGGAAGGCACCCAAGCCACCACTGACAAGACCAAGGATGAGCTGGAGATGAGTGTGGTCATCACCATCATGCAGCCCATCCTCCGTTTCCTCCAGCTGCTGTGCGAAAACCACAACCGAGACCTGCAGGTGAGGGGCAGGGAAGCTCCAGGGCCTAGCTTCATCTGATAGTTCAGCTCCTCTCGCTTCGGCCAGATTGCTTGAGTGGAGGATAGAGTATGGTTGTCTAGCACAAAAGTCTAGACAGTTGATGTGTTTCTGTCTTCCCTAGTGTCTCCACAGGACTAAGGATCACAGTGTCGTTCACCAGGTGGCTTCATAAGTATTTGTTCAGTGTGTATAGATGCCTACATATATGTGTATCTGGTAGCTTGCTGCTATTTGGCATATAGGTGCTAACATAGAAATTGGATGGATGGCCAGGCGCGATGGTATGTGCCTGTAGTCCCAGCTACTTGGGAGGCAGAAGTGGGAGGATCGCTTGAGTCCAAGAGTTCTGGGCTGCAATGCGCTATGCCAATTGGGTGTCCCTACTAAGTTCGGGCTCAATATGGTGACCTCCCAGGAGCGGGGGACCAACAGGTTGCCTAAGGAGGGGTGAACCGGCCCAGGTCAGAAACGGAGCAGGTCAGAAATTGGATGGATGGTTTATTAAATACATTAGATTTACAAAATCAAGTACACAGAAAGTTCTATTTAATTGTCGCAGTCTTTCACAGCATAATGATATTTTGGCCAGGATAGAGTTCATACATGATAGTACATTTCATATAGCCTAGGCGTGGTAGGCTGTACCATCTAGGTGTATGAATGTGCTCTGGGATATTTGCATAACAAAATCACCCAGCGACTCATTTCTCAGAACATATTTCCATCCTTGAGTAATGCAAGGCTGTATTTGTTGATTGATTGGAGTACCTGCTTTGTGGTGTTTTATACAGGTAAATACTCAAAAGTCTTTACTGATTATTTCACAAATTTTTGTTCATTTTCTTATTTTGGGATCAAAAACAGCAGTCAAGGTTTACCGGGCCTTAGGAATATCTCAGATGCTAAGGGTTACTGGTATTACTACTTGTTATATTTTATGAATAAGGAAAGTGAGGTGCTGGGGATATGGTTAGGGAGGGCAGAAATGGGACTTGAGCCAGAGCTTGGATCTCATACTATTGACCCGATGCTATGACAGGTGACATGTTGTCTCTCTGATGAAGTTTCCAGCAGCAAAAGCTGGAAAGACAAGCGAGGCCTAGATCTATGGAGGCCAAGGCCCCTCTGGGAGAAGCATACTGGAGCTCTGCATCCTGGGCCACTCCCTGGTTTTGCTGCTGACTCTTGAACCTGGGGAAACCCGCCCTCTGCCTGAGTAGTGGAAGGATGAACAAGGAAAGCACAGCGAGGCATCCCCTCTGAGGGGGACTGTTTCCGCCTAACATAAGCACATTGGCACTGGTAGTTCTGTGTGCTTGAATGGTGGTGGTACAGAAAGGAGACTCCACCAGTCCATGTGTGGCAAGGGGAAGGTACCCCTTTAAATACTGTGTCCCTGACTTTGTCCAACAGGTCACTTTGTGGTCCTTCACAACTCTGGCTGGACCATTTGCTGTTGCCACACTGCACTGCTATCATTTGAAATCTGCCACAGAATCTGTATGTGGATCAGCTGAAGAGGAAGTTATATTGTTAAACCGTAAAGCAGAACAACGAAATAGAGCTGGGAGAAAACTGCAATATTACCTTCTTGACCTGTTATTATTATTTAATTCAGTTGGTCTGAGAAGCCTGAACTTTAAAAAGCCATCTAAGATCTGAGGTCATCAATTGCGAGATCTGGCCTGTATCCTAAAATGAAGGGCCTACCCACAAAGCCCAGTGTCAGACCCCAGTGCGTGTGGCCGTGGCAGTGCCCTTCGTACAGGCTGCAACTCTTCCTTTACTTTGCTTCCAGTCCGTCTTGGCCACTGACATTGACCCTGTCAGCATCAGAGTATGGGGTCCTGGTGCCAGCTGCTTGTCAATTACTCCACTTTTCCTTCCTGGGACTGAGAACCCTGGGCCCCAGGTCCGTGGGCTGGAACTGCTGAGCTGTCAGGTGGAGCAGAGCCTCATACCTCAAAGCCCCAGGGTCTGCTCATTGTCTTGTTAGCAGGTATCCCCGTGTCTCAAGGTGACTGTGTCCCTGGCGTCATCTGTCCCTCCACCTGACAAGCCACACCCTCTAGTCATGAGAGAGACTAGCGGAGCAGGGAGTGAAGGACTCCTAGAAAACCAAGGCTAAGGGGTTCAGCTGGGGCATCTGTGTGAGCCCTGCTGCTGGGGGTTGTTTCTAGACCGAGCCTTGTGGTTAGTGCCCTGTACCATTGCCCTACAGCGGTCTCCTCCACCTTAGACTCCGAAAGGAAAGTAGGTAGAGAGGATGTGTGTGCAAGTCTGTGTCTTACACAGCAGGTTAATCTCTGCTCTGTGCCTGGCACTGGTGGTGGCAGGACCTTAGCTCTCAGAGCTGAGCGTCTAGGGCCAGAGCCACTGGGGCCAGCTGTGGATTGTGGTGTGATGCGCTGAATGCCTCACGGTATAATCACAGGCCTTTGTGTATTTAGAGGAGGGGAAGCGAACAGTGTATAGGGTCCAGGGAGGCCTCTCAGGAAAGTTGATGTCTGTTGAGTTCTGAGCTCATCAGACTCAAGGCTGCCTTGCAGTGCCCTCCCAGCACATCAGAAGGGCGGTGCTAATGTCCCACACTTCAGGTGTGCTTCTGGTTTCCTGGACCTACCTGCCTTCCCTCCCTGTCATCTTCCCTCCTTCCTGACACACCCACTTTCCTTCCACTGTGGAAAGAGTAAGGCTTTGATTATATAAGTTCCTCATTCCTGGTTTAGAAGTCTTTAAAAGTGTAGTTTTGAACCTTAGCTCTTCACAAAATTCTCCTTCAAATTAATGTCCTGGGAAGCCAGGGGCACAGGTGCCTTTAATGAAGTCCTCCCAGAACCTCATTCTGCTTCATTCTGTGGGCAGCAGTGCTTGGGAGGTGGGGGTAGCATGCAGCATCTTTGCATATAGGAGAAAGATCTAGCAGCTTAACGTTTGAAGGTACATGAAGTTACCCACCTCAGAGATTTTAAGTCCCCATGCCTTTGGCTGCAGAATCCTTTGTTTGAAAAACATCTTAGGCACAAATGTACTAAGCTAAGCATATGAGAGCAAAGCTGCTCTGTTCAAAGTATAAACTAGAGAGTGCTGGAGCTTTCCTCCCCTCATCCATAAGAGTCCTAGAAGGTGGGGTGCACCCCAGGGAGTTCCCAGGTTTCTGTAGGGCCCAGTGGGAAAACCAGTCAAGTGGACCAGTGGCTCACAAGGATATAGGTTAGAATCATCTTTAAAACCTCTCACAAAATCAGGCTTGCCCGAGTGGTGGCTTGCTCCAGTAAAATTACATTTGCAGGAATCCATTTCCCAAATGATGGTTTTAAGTGAGATTCAACTATTCTAAATGCTACCCTGTTGGCAGCATTCTGGAACAGATGGTAGGCCACTGGGTCAGGGTTTCCTCCTTGATGTGAGGGAGGAAAAGACATTCTTACAAGTAATTTTCAGCTTCCTGGTATAAAGAAGTACAGATCAGCTCAAAGAGAAAAGGGAACCAGCCTTATGAAGCAGCAGTCTCTGGGTTTGTGCCCAGAGTATTTTTTTGTCATATTTATAACCTCAACTTTCCTGTTGGTAAATGTTCAGTAGAGATAAAGCCACCCAGTTTGACTTAGCCAAACGGGCAGTTGCTGTCTTAAGCAAGCCTTGCTTACAGTAGTCAGGAACCTGATGGGAAACAGTATTCTTTAACCAGTTTGTGTGTGGTTTTGAACCCTCCCCAAGCAGCTATCTTGGCTTTGTGCCTGGGTTAATGAATGCAAGGCCTGATCTCTCTCCACTGGAGTCTGTGCGCAAGCGAGGAAACGCGCGCGCGTACACACACACACACACACACACACACACACAGTTGAAGTCCTTCACTTCCTGCATCTATCCTTCTCCACTTAATCTACCCTTGGCTCTCCCAGGAAAACCACAGGAAAAGCAGGATTTCTCCAGCCTGGGCCAGGCAGGCTGGTGCGTGCTAACAGTTCATTGAAAGAGCTCCTGTGTGCCTCTCGGTGAGAGACATGTGTCTGTTTTTACGGAGGACAAGGGGAAATGGATCTGAGTTAGGGAAGGCGAGATTGTAGCTAATCTCTGCATAAACCAGAATAGATGGGACAGACTTTCAATAAAGGGCAACTAACTGGCCTGTATGGGCGTTTGAAACAAGTGTGCCGTATTAGCTAATGACTTCCCCGGTTTCCTTTTCACCATCTCAGATTATTTCAACCAGTGTTTATGATACACTCATACACTCAAGCCCCTCTGCTAGCTACTGGGTACCCAGTGTTGTCAACATGGCTCTTCATGGGATGGATGGGCGTCAACAGAGAAACATCACCATTTGGAGAGTAGGGAGATAGGCTGAGGTGACCTCAGCTCAAGAGAGTGGGCCTACAGCATCAGGAAGGGCTTCCTAGAAGTCACTCTAGACCACATCCTGAAGGAAGATGAGTCTGGGTGAGACCATGAGAGCGTGACAGGCACAGGGAGTCATGTGGCAAGGCCGCAGAAGCAAGAGACTAAAGAATGCTTACAGAGCAGGAGGAAGTTCACTGCTGCTGGCCATAAAGAGGCCTGGCAGGAGCAGTGACGTCACTGTGTAGAGGGGGACTTCGTGAGAGCGATGATGTCACTGAGCAGAGATGAGCATGCAGGAGCGATGAGCAAGGGACCTGCTGGGTGGGGTCGGGAGTAGAGGAGGAACATCGGTAATTTGGAAGGAGGTGGGGCTTGAGAGCCATGCTGTGAACAAGAGTTTTGAGCACTCCGCTCCTCCATGGGGAGCCCTCAGACAGACAGCCCCAAGACAGAGAGCGTCTTCCCTGGGCAGCCAGACGCAGCAAGGGAGAAGTGGCTGTGAAACCCTCCCGCGGCTTCCTGTGACCCTGAGAAAAATAGTCACTCATCGTAGGAAAGTCCACACAGTCCCGGCCCATCTGTCGTTTCTCTCGTCCCACTGGATGTGAACAGTTATTACTGAGGGAAGGGAACATAGGTTAAGTTGGGAGTGGAGGAGTTAATATGATGAATAGTCAGTGTTAAATTTGGTTACCAGCTTTTACAAACATTCACAAATATTTTCATTATACAAAGACTATGTGAATATCTTCTTTTTATAAAGATTCAAATAAAAATTAGTTAAAAGTGTTGCCTCTCTTCTGTCCATGGAGAACTATTCCAGTCGTTTCTCTAATATTTGAATCAGAACATCTGATTAAAATGTCAGTTCTATCACATATTAATCTATTTGCCTTTTTTAAAACCTAACCCTGGAGCTCATTCCATACTGGCTCATAAGGATCTACTCAGCATTCCTAATTTATAATATTAAATAAGAGTGGCGTACTTTAATTTTTTAACCACCCCTCCACTGATAGCTATGTGGAGTTTTTTCCAGTTTTTCACTGTTTCACACAGTGCCACAGCTGTGGGTGACAACCTTGGGAGTTCTGTCTTCTGTTTTGTCCTGTCCCATGACGCATCTGCCTAATTGATGATCAGCCCAGAGCACTAACCAGTTAGAGACCATCAAGGTGTCTGCATAAATGACCTGTTCTCTCTTCTCTCTGCCTTTGGTCTCCACACCTGGGAACTGCCCAATTGCAGAACTTTCTTCGTTGCCAAAATAACAAGACTAACTACAATTTGGTGTGTGAGACGCTGCAGTTTCTGGACTGTATCTGTGGAAGCACAACTGGAGGCCTCGGTCTTCTCGGACTGTATATAAATGAAAAGAATGTAGCTCTGATCAACCAGACCCTGGAAAGTCTGACCGAGTACTGCCAAGGCCCTTGCCATGAGAACCAGGTAATTCTTTCTGGATCCCTTTTTGGAGATGGGAAAAATTATTTTATCATTTTAGAAGTTTGACAAGAGGCTGTTCAGAAGTTACATTACGTACGCCTTTTGCCCAGGGAGTCAGTAGGACTGGAGGCCTTTTTCTAGCAGTTGAGAAGTCACCGTGGTACTTCATCACACTTCTGATCTTTACCTAATGCAGGGCAGTGGAGGGCTTGTCCTTAGCATCTTTGCTTGGCTTGGTTTAGTTTGGTTTGGTTTGATTTGGCTTGAGTGTCAGGTAGAGGCAGACAATAAAGCAGAAGTAATACTAACCAGAAAATAGTACTAAATACAAGGAAAGATCAAAATGTGACTACCTGAAAGAGATTTATTTAAATCAACTTTGAGAGAAGAAACTTGCTGCACATGAACAGCAGTGACATCAATAATTGAGATTTTAACATGGAGTCTTAGGGAAAAAAAGACCATATATTCTCGACTTTGCCTTCCCGAGAATGCTATTTTTGGAGGGCCCAATATTTTGTTTTCTTGAGTGGAGTCATTGCTCATACATGGCATCTTGGAAGATTTTGTAAGTTTCCATTTCAGCGCTAGGATGAGTATAATCTTTAACTCCAAATGGTGCTTTCCAGGTAGCGGGGTTAGAGCAAGGCTGAAAAATGGTCAGTTCTAAACCCAGAAAATGGGGGAACATATGAGGTAGCAAGTTCCTTTAGGAACTAAGACCTTCGCTTAGAGGAGAGCAGTTTACAAGAGACAACTCACTGCCTCTGAAAATCCTGATCCTGGTTGCCTACATGTGAGAATACTGTTTTGTTAGACCCTCTTCTTGTTTCCTGACTAAGCAGGTAGTATAGTACTAATTACAGTATAACGAAAGGAGACACAGAAATATAACAAACTTAGGGGAAAGGCTTTGACATGTAAATACATTTCTTTAAAACTTTTGACTTTGCTTTTGTGGAGTAGATTGTGCTACAAATGTGGTCTTACCTGAGGAAAGATGATTAATTTTGATATTGTATGAATTAAACCAGAAGCTTGCTTTCCAAGCTTAAACCTTAATCAAAAGTATGAAATACGCAACACGAGTGATGCAGGGAGAATGGAACACACTTCTAAAGGGGAAAAAGGGCTCAGGCCCAGGTATCAGTCATACACCATATTTTCCTTTAAGAACAAAAGCTAACTGCGCTGCACTGTTTGGATTAGACGCAACCAATTTATCAGTTACCGTGCATGGGGACTTTCCTGCTGTTTACTGTTAATTCTGAAACTAGAGATTTTCATCTATCTTTTATTTTTACCACTTTCTCACGGAAAATTGCAGCTCTCCCCTAGAGATACTTCTGGGAGTGGCAAACATTGTGTTGAAATAGCATTTCAGCCTGTTGACCTTTGACTTCTGATTTATGACCAGCATTTGTGTAAATGTCTGTGTGTTTATTTGCTCAGAATTGCATAGCCACCCATGAGTCCAATGGCATCGATATCATCACAGCCCTGATCCTCAATGACATCAATCCTCTGGGAAAGAAGCGGATGGACCTTGTGTTAGAACTGAAGGCAAGTAGGGATTGAAAACAAGAGATGGTAGCATTTGGGTATGGTCACTTTTCTATTTTGGCTTGGCCTGTGACGTGGTCAGTGTTGTGGAATTAAATGCCAAAGACAGTTCTGCTAAACTAAAGGAATGATCCAAGTTAAGGTTCTGACTAAACTGCAGACCTTTGGTCTTTACAAATAAGGGCCTTGGGACAGGATACCAGCTTTTAACGGTTAGGTCACATGGAATGAATATTTGACACTCAGAACTGAGAAACAAGTTCCAATAGCATTTGAAGACCAAGGGCTCAATTCCAAAAGCCGGGAACAGACAGGCAATGGAAATATCATTCCCACTGTGGTATCTAAATCCTCCTCCCCTTTGAAGAGAAAGAATCAGTTGAAGAATGGTAGAACTAAACCTATCTAGTACCTCAAAAAAATCCATTTTTACTTCATCTGAACACGGTTTTCTGCTCTGTTAATGACTTAGTTAACGTAAATTTAAAATGAGGACACTTAACATTGGCCAAGAGTGAGCCTGCAGGTGTCTGACAAGTTTCTGGGAGTTGTGTGCAAATGGAGGACTTCAGATAACTGATAGGGAAGCCCCACTGGCTTTTGGCTCCCAGTAACTACTAGAATAAGTTTTTGGAGTGAAAGTAGTGACTTCAAGGGTGCCTAGCAGCCGGGATCTTTGAGAAGAAAACCTTCCCCCTGTTCAGGGGTCCCAAAGGTTCTCAGAGGATCCAAACATTCAGTTCTGAGATATGAACTTTCAACCCACCCTGGTGTCTGAAGTGTACTTGGGAGTGTGGTAGCATCGCTGCACACATTTCCACTTTGGGTCCTCCCAGCCTGGGCGTGCAAAGATCTGTCCTCTCTTATATCCGTGTGCAGCAGTGAGCACTTACCTGTATCACTAAAGAGCACAGAACCGGAGGGTTCAGCTAAAACACTGATTTGTGTGTACTGCATGAATAGTGTCGCAGGAAAGATTGGCCCTGGGGCGGGTGTTAACAGAGAAGCCTGGAAGAATGGCACAGTTACTTTTATTTTTCTTTTAGCACTTAGAATTGAGAATCCAAACAAAGTGTTGATTTGGGTGTACGGTTTAGAGAGATTTTTCTGGCTGTTTTTAACTCCTTTTGACAAATTTTGTTGTAGACTTGAACATCATTCAGATTCCTATACCTGGCTACCGTTTCTCAGAAAGTACACAGTGAGCATCTAAAATAGCAGGAGGTATTCACGTGCTCCTGGTCAGCATTTTCGTGACATTTCCATCTAACCCCAGTCTAAGGGTTACTGTAGAAACCAGTGTGCCCTGTGATAGCACAAGAACCTGACTGAGCTGCTGTGACTGAAGCTTGGGGGAGGAAAAGACCCCCAAACACACACACACACACACACACACACACACACACACACATGAACTTTGGAGTCCTACACCCAGGAAAGCATACAAATTATTGCAGGCTCAGGAGCCTCAAATGAGACCAAGCCAAGAAGTACAGGGTGTGGACACATGAACATGTGTAATATAATGGAAAATTATGGCTTGGCAGGCATATGGTGTTTCTCTGGGTCATTTTTGTTAACTAGTATCAGCTGCGATAGTGTTAGGAGTTCTGCTGATAGGAAAGTTGTAAGAAAGAGGAGATTACCTTTGTGGCTTGTGTCTCTGGCCTGTAAGGCTAGAGGCATTGTGTGTGGGCACACCCACGCCAGCAGAGAATGTGCCAGCTCGGCCCCTGGAAACATAAGAGCAGCACGAGTCTGTGCACAGTAAGTCCTTCCCCGACACCGTCATCTTGAGTGTGACAACGTACTGTCAGGCTCTGTGTCTGAGTGTTCAGTATCTGGGGATTTAGCCGATGGCCAGATCAAAAGTATTCAGAAAAAATGTGTCTGTACTGCATATGTCATTATTGCTTACCAGTGCAGAATTATAATAACTATTCCATTGCCTTGTCATGTTATCATTATTATAAATAATCTAGAGAGGAAGTATACAGAAAGACATGTGTAGGCCATATGCTAATACTCTGCTATTTTGTATAAAGGACTTGAGTAACTGTGGATTTTAGAGCCAATGGGGTCCTGGAACCAACCCTCCATAGATACTAAGGAATGACCATACCTAAGCACCCGTGTTAAATTTCCAGTTTCTGCTAGCTACCATATGTTCAAATCAGATTGTATGCACATATTTCTGGGGTCTGAAGCAACATATCATCTGCCTGGTGGAAGGAGTCAGTGATGCACCTGACCCAGGGCGTAGGGCGCCTGATTGTCTAGCCAGGGTGCACACCCGTGTCAGCTGGCCGGGTACATGGCGAGCACCTGCCCAAGTGGTTCTTCTCCACTTCTCTCCCTTGCTTTCTCCAATTAGAACAATGCTTCAAAGCTGCTGCTGGCCATCATGGAAAGCAGGCACGACAGTGAAAATGCTGAGAGGATTCTTTACAACATGAGGCCGAAGGAGCTGGTGAGTTGGGCAACTGATCCCTGACCATGGCACCGAGGAACATCAGAGCAGTATTTGGGGGAGGGTGGAGAAGCTGCATACGTGAGCTTTCTCAGAGATTCCCTAAATCTTAAGTGTAAAGGAAATATGTATTCCAAACCTCTGACTGTGGAGAGAAGTGTGGCAGTGGATGTGTGGTATTTTACCCTCTCCTTTGAGCACAAGCTACATATGGAAGTCTCCCTTCCCTTTTTCCCCCATGGAGGACAGACAGTATGTGCAACTCCGGAGCTCTGCACTTTTTGCTGTGTTGCCTGGGGCAGTCACTTGACCTTTCTGAGCTCCCTCTCCTGAGGCTCAGAAAGGAAGATGTTACCTAGGCCAAAGTGTTGTTTTAAAGATTGGGTGAGGGAAGTCACGTCGTTAGCCCTTAGCGCAGCGCCTGGCGTGTGATATGTCCTCGGTGCGTTGAGGCCCCTTTTCCTGTAATTCCTCATTTATTACTGGTATTTTTACCACATCTTTGTCCAGTGCTGAAGAGTTTACATCTGTTCTTGGTGTCAGGAGTTGGGAGAACAGAAGAATGTTTTTAGTTGCGGGGTTTTTAATTTTTTGTTTTGGTTTTGTTTTTGCTTCCTTTAAAGAAAACATGATCTGGTTTATTTCGAGGGGTGATATTCACAAGAGGCTGTGACATCCAGGTTGATAGTTGGTGCTGCAAACTGTGAGGCGAGGAGTGTTCAGAGACAGAGACATGAGTTGACGGTAGAACTCCCAATTTGGACTTTTCCCCCCGTGCAAAGAAACTGTAACTGACAGACTTCAATGAGGGCCTTAAAACATTTCTGCCTCCTGGTGACCTCAGTGTGTACTTGGGACCAGACCAAAGTCCCTTTATATATCCCTTTAAATAAAGTTAACAGCAGCCCAGCTCTTTGATCTCCGAGGTTAGACAGTGAGTTCTCAGCCCGAGCCGGGAGTCCTCTGTGTGAGTTTACATAACGACTTATGTAATTGGGCTGACAGGAGAGCCTAGCTTTTGTAAGTATGGGGTAGGATTAGAATCACCGCAGAGACCCCATTCCTATTCCCATCAGTCAGGAAGGTGCCCTGGCTCTCCTGGGTTGTCTTGGGTAAGGGAAAGGCCAGTACCTAGTGCTGTGACTACCACCAGCTCCTGGGTTGCCACCTTGTGGTTAGAAAATATCCTTTTGGCTCATGGAAAAAGTCAAAGTTTTCCTGGAATAAAGGAAGTTCTAAGCATCCAAATAGCAAGGCATGTGCACATGTGGGTACAGGCAAGTGTGCACACATCTGTGTGTGTGTCCTGGCCCCAAACTCTATGCAACGTGTTTTCCCTTCAATTTGGTATTAACAAAAACTGGCAAGAAAAGAAGCTCAGAGAGAGAAGGCTCCGGTCTGCAAAGTTACACCCAGTACCTGACCTGGGGTCCCTAAACAGGTGCCTGGCTCTCTCCATGCTTGGTCTTGGGTAAGGAGAGAGAACCCAAATAGTGGCCCTGTGGTGACACAGGAGGCTGGTATGCCTTCTGAATCGTCAAAGACAATGGTTAATTTTTAGTATAACTTAGGAGGTAAAGGCATTGTGTACTTACTCTTGATGGACTCAGTCCTGAATATGTTCATTTAACAAATACTGGCCAGCCCCTCCTTTGTCCCGTGCACTGTGCTGGACACTGGAGGAGGGATTCAGAAACAGTGTGACCTGGCCCTGCTCTCAGGTAGCTGGGGTGGCGAGAACAGTAGGACAGGTACCGAAGCGCTCTAAGAAGTGTGCCAGAAGCATGAGACAAGCCCAGTGTGCAGGGCCTCGGGGGCAGAGTCATTCAGCTGTGAAGATAATGTCCCAGTTCAAATCCCAGCTCATTAACTGTGACTTCAGCAGTGTTCTTTTATCTCTGAGTCTATTCCCTCATCTATAAACAATGGGAATCTCTGATACCTCATAAAGTAATGCTGAACACTGTGCTATAATCCTAAGCGTAGTGCTTGGCGCAAGTGCTCAGTGGATGTTAGTTATTATTTTCATGTGCAGTGAGCTTTGGGGCATGGGGAAATTTTTGAGTTAGAAAAAAGGCTCATCAGCTCTTCCTAAAAGCTGATGAATTTCTCATTAGTTTTTCCTGAAATGACGAGGGTTAGTGGTAAAGATAGGAAAAGTCTGGTGTCTAGCCTTTGCTTGTATCATATTTTGCCTTTTGGAAGTACTTTTGGAGCCATTTGTCCCTTCTAAAGTAGAAAGAGATAAACCCACCACAGAATCTCTGTTGGTCTAAGTAGAGTAGATGAGTTTCCTTTCTCCTGTCAATAGAAGTTGACAGGTGTCAAACGCTTGTGACAGTGTTAAGGATTCTGAGGCCGTGTCCAAGCCTTGTAGGAAGGAGTGTTGAGTTCAATGAAGTGTGTCTGCCCAGGCCTTCCTAGGTTCCCCTGCCCTTTGTCTTTTGTGATATTGAAGATGAATCCAAAGCCTTTGCACTGAGCTATACTTCCAGTTCTTCGTAAATTTTGAGACAGGATCTCACTAAGTTGCTTAGGCTGGGTTCAAACTTTCAGTCCCCCTGCCTCAGCCTTCCAGAGCTCTGGGATTACAGGTGTATACCACCACACCCAGCCCAGCTTTGTGGGTCTCCCTTGAAAAATATTTGTTCTCTTGGCCCTTCTTGCAGGTGGAAGTGATCAAGAAAGCCTACATGCAAGGTGAAGTTGAATTTGAGGATGGAGAAAATGGTGAGGATGGAGCTGCCTCTCCCAGGAATGTGGGGCACAACATCTACATCCTGGCACATCAGGTGTGATGTCTCCCTGAGCTCACTCCCCACCCTGCTGCCTACCAGAGTCCAACAGACTGCTTCTTGAGGGCTTATACCTAGGGCTGTTTGTCCTCGAGGACATGGCTTGCAGGTGCATTTGGCAACCTGGCCAGGATGCTGAGTTCCAGGACTTTTCCATTCCCCACTGTGATGGGGTTGAACACTTGGAAATCCCCATGCCTCTTAAAAGCATCCACCCCTGAGCAGTGACACTTAGATGGTTTACAACTTTGAAGACATTTGAGTTTCAGGGTTTTGCAGATACTAAAGAGTCTCTCTTAAGAACCTAAAAAAATAAACTTGAGCTTCCTTGCCTATGGCATTTGGGAATCTGTGGGAACTTGTCATTATGGCTTCCTTTTGTTTGTCTTTTTGGAGATCTGGTGATAGTTTCTGTCCTGACATTAAAATATGTCTTCATTCTCTTTCCTAGTAGCTGAGTTTCTGGAAATAATTCCTCTTTTTGGGTGCTGATGTGCCTTGTGTTTTCTGGTGGCTATGGGAAGACTATAACTCAGCTGGAGGCTGTGTTTCCTGTCCCTTCCACCCTTCAGGTGCAGGATCTGGGTATCACATGTGACAGTATGGAGCCTGAGCTGGCAGGTTCTCCCCTTTTCAGTCACATCAGTCTCCTTGCTGCATCTCCCTGATGACTAGCATCTAGCCTTGGACAGGGCTTCCGGACATCCCAAATGTAGGCTCCATGGGGTGTACAGAGAACCCCATCTACCTCCTGCCTGGCTAAAGAAATCAGGAGAAAGAGACACTGCATAGCCATGAGTTCGCTGTTCTTTTCTCCCAAGCTCCCAAAATAGCCACTGTGAAAGCGCACCTGGATGGAAGGTAGCAGGCCTCCTGGCACCTTTGCACTTCAGCTTGCTGCTGGTTATTATGCATTTTTAAAACTCAGAAAGAAGCTTACATTTCCCTGTTGCAAAGAGATGCTGACCTCCTGTATTTCTGTACTTGTGTTCTAGCTGGCTCGGCATAACAAAGAACTCCAGACCATGTTGAAACCTGGTGGCCAGGTGGATGGAGATGAAGCTCTGGAATTCTATGCCAAGCACACAGCCCAGATCGAGGTAAAAGCAAGTAGCTCAGGGCACAGAAGAGCCAAAGCTCTAACACACAGGCCTTCAGTCTTGAGGCCTTCAGAGTTGGGTGTGTTGGACCAGGGTTGGCATGCTTTCATTCATCTGAGAAATGAAAATGTGAGCACCTACTGTGTACTAGGTCTTGTATTAGGTGGTTAATATCCAGTGATGGCCAAGGCAGTCATGACTTGTGCTTGAAGTCTGGTAGAGAGGTAGACATTGAGCAAATCCACATATATAAACCTTATTCATTTCAAATTTTGGCCAACTCACTAGGATGAGTGTGTGGCATTATAAAAAAGTCCAGCAGAGGGACCTGCTATAGGTTGTCATGGCCCAGAAGGCCTTTTCTGAGGAAATAGCAGCTAAGTACAGTCTTAAAGAACACAGGAATGAAGCAGGGAAATACCAGGTAGGATGGAAGGAGCTTTTCAGACTTGGAGAAGGAAGCTTCTAAGTGAAGGGTGGAGCTAGAGAAAGACCTGTGGGGCTGGAACTGAGTGAGCTGGAGGGAGGACACATGGTTTCTCCAGGAAGGAGACAGGTAGTCCAGAATGTGCACAGCTTGTGCCTCATCCTGGGGAGAGATTTTGGCTTCACACTCCCAGTGATGGGGAACCATTACAGAGTTTCACTCAGGGAAGCACTGTGATCAGCACTGCGTTTTAAACAGAGCAAAGCAAATGTTTGCTGATACTCTATAAACCAGATACTTTAAAAATGGAGAACCTGGGCAATAATGCTCAGAGAGATTGTGTCACTTGTCCAGCTTTCAGTGGCCAAAATGGAGTTTTCACTGCTGTGTGATTACCCCCCTGAGCTCTGGGGCACATTTTATGTCACCTGCATTTCTTAGCATCTGAGAGAGCATCAGCTCTGTGCAGGCTCTAGGAGGTAAGGAAGGATGTACTGTGTTTTGCTAGTGAGAAAATATACAAGTATCAATGTTGTGAGAGAGATTTGGAAAGCCCAACAAACTCCTATGGGCCGTGTAATATGTTCAGGATGGAGACTTTTCAAGAATATGTTCTTAGCTGATGTCTCCAGTCTCCAGGCTGATAAAATAAAACATCTCACTGATTAGTCAGCAATACCACTGTATGTGAAGAACAAGTATTCTTATTTTATTTTTAGTGGCCAGAAGTTTAGCCAAAGAACCAGATCTCTCTTCTGGAGCCCTTAGCAGATACACTTTAGATGTTGATCATAGAGAAGGTCAGAGGAGAACAAAACCTTGGAGATCATCTCATTGAACCTCTTGGCTCATTAGGAGGAAGACTGAAGCCTGGTCGGGTTAAAAGGCATAAACAGGGTCACTCAGCCCACCAGAGGTTGGAGAAGTACTACAGTGTGTCTTCCTAATCCTTGCTTCTAAGTCTGCTAGAAGAGGTGTAGATAGGTCAGCATCAGGATAATGATGAAACCTTTTGAAACAGGAACTCCTACTAGATTTGGGAGCTGCTGGTCTAAAGACCACATCTCTTGGAATTTAGTTTCCCACTACAAGATGGCCTGAGTCACTTCTCTTGCTGCATCAAGGAATAAAGGTATTGAGTTAGAACCAGCCCTGCTTGTAGAGGCCACTGGCCCTCAGCTTCAGCTGACCTTTCCAGTTTCTGGAGAGGAAGAATAAAGATAGCCCATACCTTTGTTATACTGCATGCGGCCTGTGCCCCTTTTGAACTACCCCCAGGTCTATAACTTAGTGCACCATCCTAGAATCTGAACAATCTAGACTAGACTGCCTCTTCTCTAGGGATGGAGTAGAGCCCAACAAAGCTACTTTGAAGAATAGTGAGGCCGTCCCAGAGTCATATGGCATATTAGCTTATAGGTCCTACATTGTAGATGCTATGAGAAGTAAAAGGTAGGAGATCAGCAACTGGATGTAAACTGAAGGTCTGTTCATGAAGTTCCCATCTGGGGAAAATAACCCAATTATTCTCTCTGAAAAAGGATCTTATATGGTTTCCACTATGGCCTCACATTACACTATCCAGTACGATAGACACTGGCTGTATATAGCTGTTTAAGTTAAAATGAAATAAAATCAAATGTGTGCGGTTCCTCAGTTGCATTAGTCACATGTGCTCATGCTCCCTGGGTGCCTGTGGCTTGTGGCTTTTGGACAGCACAGGTACAGAACTGCCCCATCACTGCAGAAAGTTCTGTCGGACAGCACCAGCCTCATCTGGATATGCACCAAAACACAGTGTGAGTTGTTCCAGACAGAAGTTGGTCACATTCAAATGAATGGGGTCCAACGCCATAGACTTACTAAAACTACGTTTTGTTTTGTTTTGTTTTATAAATCTGAGACACAGCCCAGTCTAGGGTTATAAAGTCAGAGAAATTTGCAGCATTCTGAGTCTTAACTGCCAAGCCTGGGGCTAATAACAAATAGGTTTCATGTAAGATTTTGAAGACCTGCTTAACCTCACCCATTTTTCACCCTAGATTGTCAGATTAGACCGAACAATGGAACAGATTGTCTTCCCAGTGCCCAGCATATGTGAATTTCTAACCAAGGAGTCAAAATTACGAATATATTACACCACAGAGAGAGACGAGCAAGGCAGCAAAATCAACGACTTCTTTCTGCGCTCTGAAGACCTCTTCAATGAAATGAATTGGCAGAAGAAGCTGCGAGGTAGGTCACAGCATTCTGACAGGGCTACGGAGAAGTGCAGTTCTTGGTTTTCACGAATCTGAGCTTTGTGGTGCATTCCCCTCTGAGCAGAAGCATTGTGGGTGTCACTGGTGGTATTTTCCACCTGTGACTACCAGGAACCCCAAAGTGCAGTAGTACTTGAGTAGCTGAAAAGCCCCCCTCCCCCAGGGTAGCAACTCTGCTGAAAAGGCTTCCTTCGTGCCGCACTTGGCTTGATTGACTGTGAGCTCTGTAAGTTCGGATGCCTTTTTTGGTATCTTTATATAGAAAATCAAGGTGGGGGGCAGGCCTTTGAGCTCACAGCATGGTTGACTTGGGCAGGAAATGCAGACAGTGTGATTGCTCATTTACTAGCACACCTGCTTTAGGGACTCTGGTGCTTTCCCTCTTACAGAGCAGCTCGGGTTTGACACTAAATCATTTTATGGGCGGTGGAATCATTTGCCACGTAAGAGGCATCGTTGCTCACCAGTGAGTCCCGTTGAGGAACCCAGCCAGATCAGGTTGAAATTACTTGCCTAAGATATGTTTATAGGGCTTCCCCAGAGGGCTTCTGTGCTGCTGGTTTTCATTAGGGTTTTAATGTGATCCTTCAGCACCAAAAGTACGCTTGGCACCGGCTGTTGCAACCAACTTAAAAAGGATCCTGCTTCATTTCAGTCTGTTAGTCAGGAGCTGGCTTTTTTATTTGAAACTCTTGAGTCCACCTATAGCTGTGATCTTTTAGGCTCTCTCTGTGGGGCTCTGGTAGGGAGGGGGAGTGCTGTGTGTGAGGACGGTATCTGGGAGCTTTCATCCTCACTCTGATCCCTATCAGTCTGAGCAGAACCGGACCTCCCGCCCTCCCCACGTGTCTTTCCCTTGCCTTCTCCTCACCTCACTGCACCCCTAGATGTGCTAGTGGCAGAGAGGGCTGTGCAGGACCCCAGTGGGTTTCCCAAAGGCCCTATTCCCAACACCTGTACCCCCACTTCATTTGCACCCATCTCCAAGGGGCATCTTCAGACCGTTCTGAATATCTTGCTGGGCCGAATCTATCCTGCAACAGATCCATGTTTCACGTCTGCAGAGGGAACATAGACCCTCAGCAGGCCATCACGCACGTCCTCCTTAGTACAGACCTCAGGAAGGCGTGATTCTAGCCCAGATCAGTGTATCTTCATGTACATCCACCGTGGGTTCCTGAAGACGTTCAGCTCAAGCATCACTGTGAACACCGAAACTCCTACATAGCGCCATGCTAGGGCAGTAGAGGAGAAAAGATTAGCCATTACCTTAACCAAAATGATGCAGAGCCCACCTCTCCCATATTCATGTTCCCAGCGTTTATGTTATAGAGAAGGGAAAACTTATTTGTTGCTTTCGTCTCTTGCTGGGCTATTCTATAATTGCAGCTTTCATAGATAATCATGAACTAATTAACTTCAGTTTTAATTTTATCAGTATACAGTATGTGTCTCCTGAGACAGATCAGGTATCTTTCTTCTCTCAGAATTGTATTATCAAACACACATATAATATATACATTTTACAGGCTCTCCAAAAGGCTGATAAACCTTTTCTGGTGAATGAGATCTCTCCTTGTCCCTCTTTCTGAGATGCTATCCCCAGCATGGGATGGTAGGGGGAACTTATCCTTAAGGAGGGGGAATGTGAGTCCCATTCTACTTCTGACACTTGCTAGCTCTGTGTCCCCAGGCTGGTGACCATGCTCCCAGACCCTCCCCTGAGATGACCTCATTGATGCGGCTTTTCCAGAGTTGGCCATCTAATTATTGCAAGATTTATAATGCATTATAGCTCATGGCTTCCCTTATGTGTCACTCTTTCTGTTTTCAAAAAACAGTTTTTGTTTCCTTGAAATTTAAACATGGCTATAGTTGTCAACTGCAAGATTTTAATTGGCTTCAAAGCTGTTTGCTGGTAAGAGAGAAATTGAAAATAATAACTGAATTAAGCATGACTTGCATATTTAGGGAGGGAAGAAATATACTCATTAGAAGAGCAATTAAAATGTATTTTCCCCTTCTAAGTGGCTTGTTTCTCTTCTACTAAGTGTGTAGAAAATACTTTTCTGGATTATTCATGTAGCTGCGTTACCTGTTCCTAAGTGTATCATTGAAGATCAACTGTGTTTTAGGAAACCTGTAGCTAGGACTCACTCAGAGAGATATCTGCCTCACCCTGATGTTGCTTAGTATTTCCTTCTACAGGAATTAAAAACCTAGTTGCTTTGCTTTCCAGAATCCCTGTCCCCTGCTTTCCTTCCACAACATACACCCATGTGCATGCATACCTGTGTGTGCATACACACACACACACACACACACACACACACCCCTTGTGTATTCACATCCTCTTTCTGACCATCCCGTTCTGCCATCTTCTGAATCTAAAGATCATGACTGGTAAGGTGAAGGCCTTCGGCTGTGAAAACTAGCGGACAGTGAAAGGGAAACTGAGGTAGAGTTGCAATGATGACTTTGTCGCATGGTGTTCTCCCTCACGGTTATCACACTCACAGGAAATGAACTGGGAAATTCTGCTTGTGTAAGTATCTGTGGAGTCCATGTCTTTGAGCAAAGCCCAGTTCCTTTAAAACAAACAACTAGGAAAGAATATGACCAAGAGGTGCCCTAGGTGTAGTTACTTAACTTGTTTCGTCCATCTGAGGTCTTGGCACTCTACCTTTTTGCTGGAATGTGGCAGGTATATTGATCAGCCAAATTTTAGCCCTTGTTAGTGGAAAACACCCTGCGGGATGTAGTGGGGAGTTCAACAGCGTGAGAGCTGTGACTCCTTCCTACAGGAACTTCTCATCTGAAAGGGCAGCCAGCAAGGCAGTACCAAGCTGAGTATGATGAGGTCTATACTCAAGCAATACTAGGTTTTGGAAGTATGAGAAAGGGAGACTTCAGAGAAGAGGTGGAAGAGAAATGGCATCCAAGGGGATACGTAAAACTTGGATAGACACAAGTTGGGAGACTAGGGCAAGGGAATGGGTACCAGTTTCCTTGTGCTCCTGTAACAAATTGCCACAACACCGAAGTTACAACTACGTAAATATATGAACTTAACAGGTCTGGAGGTCAGAAGTCTGAAAAGGTTCTCACTGGGCTAAGAGCAAGGTGTCAACAGAGAATGCTTCAGCCTTTGCATGCTTCTCAAGGCTGCTGCATTCCTGGGCCCTTGGCTCATCCTCCAAGCTCCAAGCCAGCAAGGCCCATGGAGCATTTCTCACGCAGCATCACTGACTCTGAGCCTTTCACCTCCCTGTCTCACTTATAAGGACTTGGAAGTCCCCTGACACATTCACAAGCCCTGAGGATTAGGATGTGGATATTAGAGGTGGATATTATTTTGCCTATCAGATGTATTAGTTGCTTTCTATCCCCATGTAACAAATTAATCTCCAAAATTTAGTGCCTTAAAACAATGAGTGTTTGTTTTCTCGCTGTCTCTTGGAGTCAGGACTTTGGGAATGGCTTAGGTGGATGGTTCCAGTTCAGAATCTTTTATTAGGTTTCAGCTGCGATGCCAGCCAGGCTTCCCATCATCTGAATGCTTGCCTGGACCTGAGGGATCCACTTCTTAGCTGTCTCACATGGCTGTGGGCAGGATCCTCTGTTCCTCTTCACCTGGACCTCTCCATGGGTCCGCTTGAGTATCTTCATGACTCAGCAGTTGTTTTCATCAGAGCAGATGACTGAAGAGAGAGAGCAGGGAGGAAGCAGCAGTGCCTTTTATGACCTACTCTTGGAAGTCGGATACCACCAGTTTGTGCCTTCAGTTTGTTCGAAGCAAGTTGCTGGTGTAGCACACACTCAAGAGGAAGAGTTATGCTTCACCCGTTGAAGGGAGGAGTGTCAGAGACTACATGGACATATTTTTCAGTTGCCACAGAAGATGTGCTCAGAGGCCAGAAGGCACAGCGTGTGTTCAGGGGCCCAGCACTTGACTGGAATGCAGAGGCAGAGTGTATGGGGAATGGAAGTGGGAGAAGAGTCTAGAAAAGTGGATGGGACACAGTTCCATGTGCCACAGGAGATAGAAGACTCTGCATATCGAGGTGGATTCCTAAGTATCTTTGTGTACTTCAATAAATACCCATTTGATTTAAAGGACTGAATGTTTGTTCAGATTCAGATGGATCGTGCAATTTAAGTAGATAAAACTCTAGCTTTATAAAAATACGATGTATCTGTGACCTGTTGGCCCTAGTTGAGGACCACTTATTGCAGTCGTGTATCACTCAGATTTGATGGTGAGCCCCGCCTCTGACAGTGGTACTGGCTTGCACAAGTCATCACTGAGTTTTGCCAGATCCTTTTATTTTTTCCAGCTTCTGAGATTTTATACATATGTACATGAGTCTGCAGAGGATAGTATAAGTTCTCACGTACCTGTCCCTTAGCTTCATTAGTTGCCAGCTCTTTGCCATTCATCTCTCTCGTGCTCTTCTGGAGATTTCATATCTCTGATCAGAAATGGGCTTCGATCCCAGAAGAAACATCAGTAGACATTGTTTCCAGAGCAGATGATTTCTCACCTTACATTTGCTTCAGCAATTAACTTACCAAAAAAAGTAAATTGTTACCCGACATTCAACTGGATCCTGGTCAGCTCCTCTACTGAATGGTGACACAAGCCACTTATCTTTAGCTCTATCACCACAGGAGCCTTAACTTGGGAAATGAGATTGCCTCAGCTTCTGCCTATTGCCGGGCCTCACTTTCCCTCCTTTATAAAAACAATGAATTTTAAACTAGATCATTGCTCTTAGCTGTACAGCTGTACAGTTTGGAAATGTTGCCTATTACCAAGTACAAACATGATATGCACAGTTATTAAATTACCCAGGCATCTATTAAATTGCACCATAACCTTGTTTGATGGGTGCTTCCAAAGACTTGGCTGCTACTACAGGCATCATTATAGGGCCATTGAATTTGTCATTGGCTGGTGTCCTAAAGTTAAATGATGACTTCACTGGGGAAAAAATACACACCAAGATCTGTGCTTTTCTCTGGGGTGGGTGGGGATATGTTGAATGTAACTGTTGGAAACCACCTGTGGGGCAGACACTGAAGTTATTCCTACTGCACCTATTTTGGGGCATCATCCCAAGTATAAGGTACCACTGAAAAAATTCAAAAGAAAAGGAGGCACCAGTGTACATCCGCAAAGCCAGAGGTTTGTTGTTCTGAGAACAAGGATGCCTGATTAGTGTGGTATCCCCCTGGAAAACAATGGATTAAGAAGGTGGAGAGATCGAAAGCATCACTTGCTCCTTTGCGATATCCTACTACACATTCTTTCTCACCTGGAGCCTTTGGAAATGTGAACTGCACTGCTGACCACCCAGTCAGCCTCTCATACTCCTAGTTCCCTCCTCCTCAGAGTGACTGCCAGACTTCAAGAAGACACAAGTGACTTGATGTGGGGAAAGAAACCATTGTCTTGCTTTCGGGCACCAGTGAGCGGAGCATTTTGAGTCAGGGAGGAATGTGGGAATGGTATCAGTCCTGGTCTGAGGCCCAGCTTGGCGAAATCTGATTGTTGTGTCTCCTTGACATTTCAAGAGCTCACTGAATTCTTGGGTCTGAGCATCATCTGGTCCTGGAGGCCTGCGGGCACTGGGAACTGAGTGTGTGAACTCTGAGTAACCCTCAGATTCGATAACTGGTGGCATTGACTGGGGCATGCAGGGATTTCAGATGTTCCAACTTTTCTCCTCCTCTTCCTTGTCTCCCAGTGCATCTTCTGTTCCAAACAGAAATGAGCCAGTTCAACATCAGTATGTGCCAACTTCAGAACAAATGATCATTTTTACTGTTGTTGTGAAAGCCAAGAACAAAAGGGGACTTGTGGGGGCCAAGCAGGAGGACGGTCCGTGCTGAATTCCAGTGATGTGACACATGGCCTCTGCTCTCACATGGTTCTTCTCTGTTTCCACAGCCCAGCCCGTCCTCTACTGGTGTGCCCGCAACATGTCTTTCTGGAGCAGCATTTCATTTAACCTGGCTGTGCTGATGAATCTACTTGTGGCGTTTTTCTACCCATTCAAAGGAGTGCGAGGAGGTACTTACGTGTGTTATTTCAAGAAAACGAGTAGATGCAGCAGGAAGGCTATGACTGGCATCTTAACTACTGTCCCTGGATGTGTTGGTGCCACATTTAGGATCCCAGTTATCCATTATCAGACATGATAAGGTTATACCTTTTACTCAGATTTATTTTTAAATCTGATTGAAAATAATTTTGGTTTTATATGAATATGTATTTTTTAACCAGGCAAGAAAGAGAAGCTATCAAACCTGTGAGAAATTGTCTCAGCCCCTTTGTTTTGTTCTATATGTTGGGAAATTGTGTGTCAGAGAAGTTGAGAGATTGAGCCAAGGTCACACAGCTAGTGAGTGGCGGAGCTGACTCCAACACATAGACATTTTGATGCTCAGGCTGTTGTATATACTTCTAGAACTGATTTCAGACTACAGACTTTGCAAAACATCTCAGGAATATTTTTTCTTTTGTCAGAGGTCAGAGGGGAGGCAAGATCTGAATGACTGCAGACTGGACATCCTGGAGTGTTTAGTCTGTTCAGAGCTGCCTGCGTTGTTCACGGATTTCCCCCACCCACTATCTCCTTCCCATCATCCACATGTGCATTCTACACTTTCTGCTGAAAAAAACCAGACAGTTCAAAAGGGACACTTTCCCTTTGGGGCCCTTGCTTTGCTATGGATGTTGGAGAGGCATTCACACTTGTAGGATTCTGATGGCAGGCATTAAAAGATTCTTTGCTCTTAGATGTATATGGCCCCTTGTCTTTTTAGTATTTTGTTTGTTTGCTTTGTTCTTGCAGTGTTAGGTATTAAATGTAGGGCCTCATGCATGTGCTAGGCAAGTGCTCTACCACTAAGCTGAACCCTCAGGCCTTTTCTGATCCCCACTACAGCCTCTGAGAGATCTACTTTTACCTAAAATTTTCATCAGAGCTTTATGGCAGTTCATTTCGTCTATATAACACCCTGCAGGAGTTTTCTTGTATAAAACCTAATAGGATAAAGAAACCCAACAGTAAAACACAAAGAGTGCACAAATAACTTTCAGGCTCAACTGGTGAGCTTGATAATGCAGATATAGATGTGAACCGTATGTGTGTATATGATAAAAGAAAGTACATATATATGGACCAATGTGAAAGTGATGACATGTTATATAATGCTTAAAAATCCGACTTACTCATTTAAGGAGATAGCTTTTCTGTTTGGCCTAATGCTATATTGAAGGCACCATTTGAATCATTTTTCTCCCCAGAAGCATCTAAACACAAATCTGGGGGGACTTTTCTTTTAGATATGTATCAGGAAGCACAAGCACTCACGTCTGAAAAGGTATGGTAGGAAGATAAGATGGCAAGGTTTTTTCTGTGGGGATGAATGCCTTCGCTGAGCTACTGTCAGCAGAAGTGTGAGCAGAGCAATAAAGGGGTCAAAAAAAGAGTTCTGTGAGGCTGGGCCTCCTCCGACTCAGAGATGTTGTGCTTATCGCAGCAGATGATTTAGCCATTACTTTTGTTGTGTTTTCAGTTACCTTGCATTTCTTTAAAAATATATTGAAAAGATTTTTATTTTTCACCTTTTCCATTCTCTTCTCTGGTCACCTGTGTCAGCATCCAGGACAGGGCAGGCAGGTAGTGAGCTGAGCGCTCCCCACCCTCTGGGCCTGGCTGTGCCACTTTGCCTCTGGGATGGCCACTTCAGTTTCTCCTGTTCTTTTCCTCAGTACTAGACGCTTATGCTGAGACGGTGGTTGTAAGGCTTTGGTATGGCTTCAGAAATTCCAGTAGAGTTCAGGGAAAAGTATACCCTTATAGAAGGCCATCCAGACCTCATCACAGTCCAGAAGAGTTTATATTTGTGATCCCAGGGAAAAGTTGTTGGAATTCTATTAAGTCAATTCCAATCTACCACTTCCAGTGCAACCCAGGGCGAGGATAAAGAGACAGAGACTTACCTGTAGGCGTGCAGAGCCAAGGTGGTCCTAAGTCCAGTCAGAAGAACGGCTAACTAGAACAGAGGCCACGCCCCCGGGCCAAGCTGGGTTTTAATTGGTGAAGAGGGGAGTGGCTCAGGGTTGGTGACAGAGTGGCGGGAACTACGCGAGTTCTGTGAGCTGGGCTAGGTAGAGGGCATAGTGGCATCTCTGCAATATGCAGCGAGAGGTATGCAGAAAGAGTGTGGGATTCCAGTAACAGCCTCTGAGTTCTCAGGAATCTGCATAACAAGGTGTGAGGAAGTATCTTGTGTTTTTGGTCAGTTGCCTCAGCTTTGATGTTGGGCCCTTTTTCCCTGAGACATCACAGCCTCTTTCTCCAGCTCAGTCCCAGCCAGTAGCATGGAGTCTCTAGGCCTAGCCCATGCTTAATAGCGGGGAGCTATCGGTGGGGCCTCAGTGACCTCTCGCATTGCTTCAGAGGCTGCACATCAGCACCTCTGCTAGACCCATTTGCATTGCTTAAAGCCAGTTGAGGGCGTGGAGTATTATCCTAGCCAGCTCTGTACATATCCATACACAGAAGCAGGGAAAGGTTTAGCCAAAATGGAGACAAATGGTCTTCTTTCCGGGAGAGCCCTCAGGTGGTCCTGCACACACCCTTCCAAGTCACACCCCCAGACCTGCCTCTTCAAACCAGCGCCCCCCCCGCCAAATGTGAGACTTGGGAGGAATATTTTCATCTAAACCATAATGTCCAAATTAAAGCAACAGTGACAGATCACTACAAACCTAGTAACATGGCTGGCTTTAAATGAGTGACAGTACCAGGTATTGGTGATGGTGTGGAACAAGCGGAACTGTCGTGTGTTGCTAGTGGGAAGGCAAGATGGTGCTATCATTCTGGAAAACAGTATTATAGCATCTCATACAGTTACGCATACACTTAGGGCCCAACAGTCTCTTTCCTCATATTTGTCCAAGAGATAGGAAGACATCTCTGCTCCAAGATTTGTACTTGAATATTTCTAGTAGCATTATTCATAATTGCTGCAAACTGGAAAGAACTCAAATATGCATTGATTTTTTTTAATGCATAAATTACAGTGTATCCATGCTGTGGACTGTTACTCAACAGTAAAAAGAATGAAATACTGATACACATAATAACCCAGATAATTCCTTAAAATATATCAGTCAAACACAAATGATTACTTACTAATATGCTTATTTTTTCCATTCTTTTATGAAATTCTAGAACATGAAAGATGTTAGTGACAGAAAGCAGAAAGTGGTTGCCTGAGGATAGGTACAGGGGTGCTAATTTCTATATCTTTGTTGTGGTCACAGTTTTCTGTGGTAGTTACATGACTATATAAACTACCTAAATTCACTATAATTTTACAATTGCCAACTTCAGGAGCACGTAATCTCCAGCCATTTTCTCCATCATCCTGGGGAGAAACCGTTACCCAAGATGCAGTTTCCTTTAGACTAAAGTAGAGACACTGGTCTTCCCTCAGGATGCTTGAGTGGACTGGATAAATGACAGTCAGCATAAAGGAGCCAGTACGATGGCCAACCGTTATTAAATGTGCTCAGAATGACACATAGGCCCTAGTAAGCACTTCCTGAATATCTACTTATGCCCATTTCCATTTTCTTTTCTTCTTTTTTTCCCTGATACTGGGGTTTGAAACCAGGGCCTTCACACTGAGCTACATCCCACCCTTTTTATTTTTTGAGACACATCTTGCTAAGTCACTAAGTTGTCCACGCTGAGCTCAGATTTATAATTCTCTTGCCTGTGCTCCCAAGTGCTAGGATTATAGGTGTACACCACCATCCCAGCTCCATTTGCCCCTTCCTAACCAGCTTTTCCTTTTGATATCTTTCAAAAGGCATAGAAGTAAGTGTCTGTGTCTGCAGGGAAAAGTATTAGAGAGAAAGTGTATCTTGGTAGGCGTGGCCTCAGTGAACAAGGGCAGCCAACAGCTCGTGGAAGAGCAGTAATCTGCCAAGTCACTTCTTTCTGGACAGTGCTGCATTCCTAGCCATGCTGAAGATGTGAAACTCCTTTATATAAGTGGCCTTAATCATGTAGTGCTTCTTGTTTACATCCGAAGGAGACTCAAGATGTGACAGCATTTGCAATAGGGGTGTTTCTTTTTTTTTAATGAGTGTTTTACAGAGTTGTATTTTTAGCCATGTTGGCTCATGTTATATAACCAAGCCATCTCATGGGACACTCTAAATAGAACTTGCAATAGCAAGAGATGACAAAAACTGGTAGAAGTACTTTGACTGCAGGCATAATCTAATTGTAGGATGGTGCTCATGATACGGAAGTTGCCTTCCTCCGTCAGCTTAAATAAATCTGATTCAGGCAAGGACCTGCAGCTTTCCCGTGCATACTTTGAATGGAAAGTAAATTGAGACTTCTTCCCTGAGAGGGAGTTCTGACACATGTGTGAGTGTTGTTTATTGAACAAGCCTATGATGGGAGCCTAGTGGGTGCTTCCCGGAGAGAATTTGGAGTTGAGATGGGAACATGGAGAAGGAAAAGACCACCTGCTTGTTTTTGTGGGGAGGAAGGGGATAGGAAGACTTCCCAGAAGTCTGTCTAAACTTAAGGTGTGTAGGAAGGGGAGAATTTCCCAGGTAGAAAAAACATGCATGATGGCTTGGAAATCAGAAAACAGTGACATCACTGATTATGTCTGGGGCAGAGAATTTGAGGTGAGAGTTGGGACAACAAAGGCCAGAGAAGTGACTGAAAAAAAATGTAAGTAAACCTGCCTTCCCCTGTCCCCTAAAACGCCACAAAAGCACGGAGTTGTGAGAACTCTGCTTTGCCTTCCCAGGAACATTAGAGCCACACTGGTCGGGCCTCCTGTGGACAGCCATGCTCATCTCTCTGGCCATTGTCATTGCTCTCCCCAAGCCCCATGGCATCCGGGCCTTAATTGCTTCCACAATTCTACGATTGATATTTTCAGTCGGATTACAACCCACCTTGTTTCTGCTGGGAGCTTTCAATGTAAGTATGAACATCTTCATGGCCACTTTTCTCTCTGTGGGTAAATAGGAGCTCCTTCCATCCTGGTGCTGGTACTTGGGCATTTCGGCCTTTTCTCGGTACTGGAGATGGAATCTGTGGCCTAGGACATGCTAGCATGTTAGGCCATTTCACGACTACTAGCTACATGCCCAGCCCCTTTTATTTTACTTTGAAATAGGTTCTCACTAAATTGCCCAGGCTATCTTTGAACTTGTTCTCTTGCCTCAGCTCCCCAAGTACATACCTGGGATTTCAGGCATATGCTACCATACCCAGCGTGGCCTATGCTTTCAGTACAGAAAAAAAAATGTTGCTTGGGTCAGCTGTTACAGTAGCAGATGCAGGAGATCGCTGCAGGGGCACATCTCCCTCTTCCTCCTCAGGGTACAGTGAGGCTCTTTGTGCACTATTCATACCTTGAGAGTCTCATTTCCCGGCAATGTCTCTCTAGGACTAAGGGAGAAAGAGTGATGCCAACAGTTGAGGTGTAAGTTAGTTTTACCAATCTGAACAAAAGTTTGTTTGGGCTGGAGATTTTAGCCAGTAAGTCAAATTATCATATATTGCATAGCACCTACTTCTGGCAAGGGCCAAATAGAAGAGAGAGGAGAGATTAAGAGGGACTATTCAAACACAGATGGAGCAGGTACAGAGGTAAAGAGAATCAAAAGCAGTTATTTAGACGTCAGCGGTGACACGTGAAAATACTGTTTCACCACAGTTGAAGGACAGAAACCAATTACATGTATTGGAAGATTCTTGAGAATTGGAGACTGCTGAAGATCTTGTATTTTGGGTAGATTTTCTGTTGGAGGAAAGGAGAAAATTTGGACCTGTGGGGGACTGTGGGGATCTAAAAGTGCTTTCCAGAAATTATAAGAAAGCAGAGATCCCTCTATACAAAAGAAGGTAATGCTGCAAAAATAGAGTAATATATTCTGTCCCCAGATGGGTATTCTGATGACAAAGGTAGCAGGGACTTTAGCGAAGAGACCATGTGGAGAAGCTTAGCTTACGTGGTGGTAGCAGAGTTTAAGTTTGTCTCAAAGAATGGTAAGGGCTGGCCAGGAAGCACAGACTAAGACAAGCATTTTGGTTTGGGTGGGTCCTGTAGGCCAAATCGGAGCCACGGGAAAGCCCAGGCTGTGAGTGAGGGAGAGTGAAGAATTGAGTCTCACCCTGTTTTTGTTTGGGCAGTAAGGTGGTGGAAATCAATCCTGTAAAGGTCCCTTGGGGCACTGAATTTTAGGAGAGTGCAGTTGGACATCATCCTCAGGTCCACACTTTTAAAACATGTTCCAGCTTGATGAATGTTAGGTGCCAAGGGGAGTGTAATGGTCCGGTAGTAAGTATGGGAAGTCCTGGGATAAGCCAAGCTGAAGGTTGTTTTTTTAACTTCAGGACTTCTCAGAGACTTTAATGTTCTACTATGGATTCTAGGTCTCCGAGAAAGAGAAGCCTGTATTTGTTTTTCACAGACTTATTTGCCTACAGTTTTTTGCAAGTGTCACTTAGGATTAGTTCTGTGTAGAGTAAGTGTTGGGAAATTCTGCTCCAAGTAGGGGGAAGTGCCTGCGGTGTTTCTGAGCCAAGAAAAGATACATTGAAAGGTATTCTTCAGAAAATTCCTTTCCTCAGTGTACGGACTCAAGTGAAAGGGACAGAGGCAAGGAGGTCTTTGGGGTCCTAGGATGCTTTGTGAAAAGGCTGACCCCGATCACAGTGTAGAAATAAGAAGAAAGATACAGGTGTCGCTGATATGGAGGAAGTGCCAGAGTTGGCTCGGAGTTGGAGCCTTACCCCTGACAGCAGTACAGGTCCTTTTCATTAGGCAAAAAATGCATTTCTGTCTTTAGTGGGTGATAAAGAAAACAAATACAACTCCAGATTTCTAGTCATGAACCAGGGAGAGAAGAATACTGTTACTGATGAAAGTCAGGATAAGATCAAGTTTTTGGGGGGAAGTGCATAAAAATTGTTAACTTATTGGACTTGAGATGATGAAACAGACCGTTAACATTAGCCTTGGCATTTGAAAATCTAGGACCACAAGGCAAAGAGATAGTGCTGGGGAGGGGAATGTAGGTATCATCTGCAGCAAAGGGAAGCTATTTAAGAAGGAAATACAAGACAGATAGATGGGTGGATAGGTGGGTAGGTGAGTGATAGGAAAAAAAACTCAATAGCTCAGAGCTCGAATCTCTGGGCTTAGTTCTTTTTTCTCTGACCTTTAATCTCTGACCACAGATATCACTGTTTAACATAAATCATGTAGTTAAGAATGAAATTAGACAATTGCCATTTATCATAACATCTATAAAACATCTATAATAAATCGTTTAGAGGAGATTTTTTAAAACTCAGAGGGAAGTACACTCCTGGGCTGGAGAAGCTGAGAAAAGGACGGGGTAGTGAACCTTGTCATGCTGCAGGGGACCAGGACAGAGGCTCTGAGTATAGAGGTATAGGGGAAGCTACAGGGGTGCTTCTGGCACAGTCTCTCAGAGACTCTACAAGAGCTGCTTCTGTGGAGAGGTGAAGCTGGAAGCTGAATCTAAGAGTAATCGAGTAGAGTTAGTAGTGAGTGGGGGCAGCAGGCTGACTATAAATAGGAGATATTTGCTGGGGAAGCAATGAAAGTTAAAAACCAGGGTGGAATCAAGTGAAGTGGATTCGTCTCCTGTTAAAATGGCAGGAAGCTGGGTATATTTAAGCCCTTGCAATGTTAACTAGAGAGGAGTTGTCCCCTCCCCCACCTCCTTGCATTCTGTCCAAAACACCATCAGCTTGGATCATCCAGAGTGTGTGATACTGTCCTATCCCGTCAAAGGCCTTCACCAGTAGAGGTTAGACTAGTGAGGAAATGTGGCAGGTTACATGATTAGCCTGAGAGAGGCAGAAGCTCTCTCTAGATGTCTTCCTCTCTTATCTCACTGCCAAAGCTCACTTACACTGACCCACCAGATTAACCAGCAGAATTTCCCCAGCACATGTGGCCGAGGGAGCTTGGGCAGTGAAGGTGATTTTACCAAGTGGATCCAAAGCCTCTTCTCTCTAGCCTTCTCCTGATTGATGTTTTTCTGTCAACATGTGAGAGGTGGACCTCAGGGCAAGGGGTCTCTATGGAGATGCAGCTGCATTAGGATGCCTTCAGTGGCTAGTGTCAGAAATCCTACTCCATGCTGACCTGAGCATAGGACAAAATGTACTGGTTTACTCTGACCAAAAAATCAAGAGCCTGGTTTCCTATGTAGCTGAGTACTGGGGCTCCAGCAATGGTGTCAGGGCCCCGTTCCTCTCTCCCATCTTTGGGCTCTGTGTCCTCTTGCTGTGGGTGTTGTCAGGAGCAGGTGTATGGCTAGAGCAGTGGTGGCAAACCTATGGCACACGTGCCTCAGCTGGCTGTTGGTTATTATTGAAAGCTCTAAAAGGGTCACCTCACTGTGCTGGAGGATGCCAGCAGCTCCAGAGCTCACATCCTGTTGAGTTCAAGGTCAGTGGAAAGGACCAAAATTATCTTTTGCTGCAGTCCCAGGGAAGAGCTGAGTGGATTTCATTGGCTCCACTGGTTACATGCCTGTCCCTGAATAATCACTAGCCCCTGAAGAATACAGTATTGTGATTGGCCAGGGTGAAGCCCCACCCAGACCTCAAGAATTAATTCTTGGACAGGGATAGGTCCCCAAAGGAAATATAACAAATTATTCCCAAAAGAAAGGGAAGAGGAACAGAACTCATCCTAATATTCCTTACTTTTCTTTCCCAAGTAAATTCTCACTTTTCTTGTGATGGGAACAATTATCTGCTTCTAACTAAATTTCAACTCCCTAATGCCTAGAATATAACAGATTCAAAAAAACTCCTTTAATTATGCTGATCACAGATTTCATGAATAGAGGTGACTTCTGTGTTTGACTAACTCATAGGAGAATGTTAGAAATGATTCATGTCTCATTTTGAAAATCATAATCTCAGTATGTGTTAATTTTGTTTTTGCTGTATACAAATGCTACTTGATTACTGTTGCACATGAAGTTATTTGACTACCATGTAATTTGTAATATGCCTGAAAAGCAAAGTAATGAAATGACTTGAAGCTGTAGGGTTTTGGGCAGGTTTGGTGGGTACTTGGTGAAAAAGGAAGCTTTTGTCAGGGCATGTGCTGAAATTTGTTTGCATGAGAATCTCCTTGAGTTCTCAGCACATTTTGACATGGTCTACACTATCTGACTCTTTCTGTCCTTGTTCTCAGGTCTGCAATAAAATCATCTTTCTAATGAGCTTTGTGGGCAACTGCGGAACATTCACCAGAGGCTACCGGGCCATGATTCTGGATGTGGAGTTCCTCTATCATTTGCTGTATCTGGTGATCTGTGCCATGGGGCTCTTTGTCCATGAGTTCTTCTACAGTTTGCTGGTGAGTACCAGGTGTTGAAATATTTTATGTGTGGAGAACTAGGCAAGTGTCCTGTGTCTTCTCTCATCACAGGCTCTTCCTTTTAATGTCCGCTCACATGCCTGGTCCAGCAAGGTCAAGGACCCACTGCACCAGCTTTTGGAGGAAAGTCTCTGAGAGGAAGGTGACCCAGGACACAGGACAGCTCGTGGGGACCTAGAGGTGCACGATTGCACCATGTACTATGCATAATGCATCTGTTGCTGTCCAGTAATGAAAGATGCCTACTGTCCGGTTCAGGAAATGTTTCCTCTGTGTGCACCTGACTTCCCAGACATGGCCAGAACTTACAAGGGCAACATTTTTGAGACTTATCATCTACAGTTCCCATGGGACCCATTTCTCAATGGAAATATGCAGTAACCTAACATTAGGAGTTACTCTCAAAGCTTCAAGCCTTATGATCATGAGTATGATGTATTCGTTGATAGGAGACTTTTCTGGTAGAAGTTATTTTGTTCTAATGCAGCAAGTGGTTAAGGTCTTGACAGTCTATATAATGAATTGGTTCTTTCCCTTTCTTCTGGGCAGATTTTTGAATCATTTATCAAGTAACTGCTTACTGTCCTGTAGTTGGAGGGAACATAGACCTGTAGAGTGAAAATAAGAAACCAATTCCTTGTACGCAAGTAATACGAGAGGAAGCACAGATGTACCATAAAAGACACTAGAAGTACGAAAATGTGAGAAGAAGAATGAGCAAAGCCTCAATGTTGACTTAAAGAGGGGATGGACTTAAAAAAAAGGAGAACAAGGAAGCCTCCTTAGGCAGATGCTATCCATGTGGTTTTTGGGCTGGTTCTGTACTCCTCTGTGCCTCAGTTTCCCCATCTACATGACATAAGGGATGATCAAAAATAAGTGAGTGTTTAAATTTTAAAATCTAATTACAGTAAAAGACACATCTTCTTAGTCCCCCTCACCTCAAATGCACTGATCGCACCATTCTTGCCACTTTCTGAAGCAGTTCTAGCAGTCCAATTCTGTCTCTTTATGAGGTCAAAAATATGGTGAATGCTGCTACCAAGTGCTATCCAACAGAGGTGGGCTTGCATTAACATTGCGGTGTATGATCATCCGCCATACTCACCAGGTTTAGTGCCACGTGACTTCTGGCTCTTCCCCAAAGTCAAAATGACCATGAATGAAAGGTAACATTTTGAATCATTCAGGGCATTGAGGCAGCCACAGCAATGCAAATGAAAGACATGAAAGAGGACTTCCAGCCAGGTGTGGTGGTGCCCATGCACGCCTGTAATCCCGGTACTCAGAGGCTGAGACAGGAGGATGGTTGTGAGTTCAAGACCAGGCTGGGCTACAAAGTGAGTTCAAGGCCAGCCTGAACTGCAGAGTGAAACCCTGTCTCAAAAAAAAAAAAAGAAAGAGGTCTTCCAGAACTGCTTCAGAAAGTGTGAAGAATAATGGGCTAAGTGTGTTTAAAGTGCAGAAGAGTATTTAAAAATGATTAATGGCATTGTAACTTGTACTACGGTAATTTAAAAAAATTAATATTCACCATATTTTTCAGTCATACCTTGTCATATCTCCCTCACAGAGCTGTTGTAGAAATTATGTGCAGCTGTTCCTGGCAAAGGCTTAGGATAGTACAGCCATAGAAATGCTGGCTATTACTGTCTTTGTCATCCTCTATTCCCTCTCTCGTCCAAAACACCATAAAGAATTCACCAAGATTAGCTCATTCCATTAGTGGTAAATGTTGGCAGGCTAAATGGAATGGATTATTTTCCCTCATTTTAAAATAGGTCTAGCTATGCTTTGAGGTTTGGGGCAAAGAGATCTCAGGATATACTTGTGATTGTCATCATGTGGCCTATTTGATTCATTCTGTATCTGAACACTTTAGAACCCTGTGTCTATTTCTGAGCTGTTTTGTGTCATGTACTGATGTCCCTGGATGGGGTTCTGGCTTGTGATCAGGGAGACCCACATCTGCCAGCCCAACAGATTCCTATTCTTCCTGGCCAAAGAGACAGAGCTCAGTTGGTTGTCTCTCTCAAGAGACAAGAGCGTTTCCCCAGACAATTCCATCTGTCTCTGGTAGAGTTTGGCTTTTCCTGCTGTCTCCCTCCAGTTGGCTTCATTTATTTTTCTGCTCACTTACATCCTTTTTTGGTCATTTTGCAGTGCCCACCGGTGCCACTGCTCTATGCAGTAGGTATCACAGTGAGACACACGAAGGCCCTATCTCACAGCCCCATAGTCCAGAAAATAGTAGTTACTACCATTATTGAGTGTTCGTTGTATACTCTTGCCCTATCTTCTCACAGTTCCTGTGAAGTACATGATTCTTCGAAATACAGTCTAGCAAACTGAGGTCTGGTGTGTTGGCTTTGCCCCAGGTCAGAATCCGTAAGTGGCAGAGCAGCATGGCCCTGCAACTTTGTTGACCTCTGAGTCTAACCTCTTCTAATCTAAGCAGGTGAGAAGCTAGTGCTTCACCTTGCACTTTGCATTTGTGCTCTCACATCTCTCACCTGTCTCAGAATGATACAGACAAATTCTGAGCTCCCAGTGATTTACCTGGGCTAGTTCACTTCTAGAAAAATGTAGCAGAGTGGGTTGGTCAGCCTAGAACGTGGCGGATGCCTTTCCTTTGTGTTTCCGGGGTTCTCTAAGCCTCTAGGCCTTGGCTTGACTATGACAAGTCATGTTTCTGTTATAAATAGTATTGAACGTGTCTGTTGAGAGCCATAGATACAGTGCCAAAACTCTTGCAATTATTCCACAAAGAGGAAAACCCACAACCAAAAGAAACTGGGTTTCTATAAAAGGAAAGGGACCTCCAGCAGAGAAAATCCATGCTTACAGGGTTGTAAGAGCTTCCTCAGTGGTAGCAAGTGCAGAGGAAGGAGGGTAATCTGATGGCCTAAAGTGCTAGCAGACCTCCTGGAGACTGGCTGGACCTGGTCTCAAACCTACATGCAAGTTCTGTCCTAAGCAAAATATTAACACTGGAGGTGAACATGTGCAAAGTTCATAAGCAAGCAGTTAACAGAAAGAAATCTAGACTGTCGGTAAACATGGAAAAATGTTCATCCTTACAAGGACATGCTAATTAAATCAACTATGTGATTCTGGGTTTGACCTCTCACATTAGAAAAGGTGAGAAAGCATGATTGTGCCCAGTTCTGGAAACAGTGGGGATAAAATGCACATAATTCTGTACAAGCAGCGAGCACAAACTGATGTAGATTTTCTGGTCAGCAATAGACAATGTTTCTATTACAACGTGTGTCTGGAAGTTTCCATTTCTGGAAATTAACCAAAAAGAAATATGTGGACCAGTATTGTAGAGACAGGTAGAGGGGTCTTCACCATAGCATTATTTATAATGACATATAATTGAAAACATCTTGCCTATTTTTTTAAAAAAGGATAATGGTCATGTTAAATCTTTTTTCCATACATTCAAATACTAAATCATTTTTTCATCAAAACATTCATGACTATTGGGTGAAAGATACTGGCTACATGCCAGTATTATGATATAATTTTTTGTAAAGCAATGCACGTATATATTACATCTTTTAAAAGTCAGAAGGAAGTAACTTGTTGAATGGATATTTGTAAATGATAAAATTATTAGTGATTTTTTTGTGCTTAGTTGGGCTTTGCAAGTTTTTTTCAATCAACATGTGTTATTTTTTAATTAGAAGGTTTCTTCATATAAATAACACATGTTCGTTGTTTTGAAGTCACAAATTATAGTTGAATAAAAAAGAGGAAAAGTCACTTGTCATTGGTATAATTTGGGGCTGTGTGATCTCCATGGTTCTTAATACAGAAACAAGAACCTTTCGTATGTTATGTGGAGGTTCTCTTACTTGCCACTTTGGGTTGAGTTGCTGGAAAATATTTAACCAACCTTACCAGCAACGCTTAGTCTTTTGTACTCTTCTGTTGACTAAATGCCTCTTCTTGCTTCCTTTTAAGGATCCTGCCTCACCTACTTTCATTCAGAGAACCGGTTTAGGACACAGAGTGGGTCAGAGGCAGAAAACCTAATTGACCAGAAAATGACCTCACATGTAAAATTCTAATTGGAAGGGACTCAGGGATCAACTGGTTCAGTCTGCCTATTTTACAGATGAGGGACCTGAGGTCCAGAGAGGTTAGATGACTTGATCAACATCTTGCAACAAATTAAAAGCAGAGTCAGAAGCCAGACCCTCTTCCCTTGGCTGACTTCCATGTGCACAGTCTTGCCCAAAAGCCACAGCAGAGACCAAGCCTTCAGGAGAGGAGTAGATGTCAGTACAGAGACCGTATTAAAAGACAGACTGTAGCCAGGCCGAGTAGTGCACGCTTGCAGTCCTAGCTACTCCATGCTGAGGTGGGAGGATTGCGAGTTGGAGGCCGGTCTGTGCAACACAGGGAGACCGCACCAAAAATCCAACAAACACGGAAGATGCATTCCAATCTAAGAGTAACCCCGGAGAGCTCTCCTCCAACTGCTCACTACCACTCCCTCAGCCAAACAGCAGTGATTGTAGTTCTTAGAAAACTAGCCATTAACATCCCACACCTGCAGGCACCACCTCCTCCTTGGGTATCCAGCATTTCATATAAAGCAGCTCTGTAGAGAGCAGAGCCCCTGGCAGAGGGCAGGCCTAGGTTGAGAACACACTGCAGACTGTAAGGGTCTTCCCCCTACTAAAGGGGTAAGGGAAGATAGAGTAAAGGTTTAGACTTACTGGTGTGTCGCTACCACACGTGTCCCTGCTAAGTACTATGTGACCTTGCCTCAGTCTCATCATAAAATGGATAATTACCAGTTATCATTCTTACTCAGCATGTAAGTATGTTCATATGCTAGACACTGTGTACATGGCCTATGTATTCTGCATAATAACTCTACATCTGCCAGTGTGCAGATGAAGAAATTAAGACTCAGAGGGCTCAGGGACAGTACCTACCCCAAGATCATAGTGGCCCTTCAGTAGCTCAGCTAAGATCTGCATTTGCACTGATCGGAGTCCTTGCTGCTCTCCCTGCCCTCAGTCAGTGCCTGCCTTCCCCAGCAGACACCTGGCTCCAGGATGGCAAGGACCAGCGTGGTGGCCCTTAATAGAAACTCAGTGATTGCATCCTACTGACTGAATGCCAAGACTCTCATCACTTTGCTCTCCAAAACTCACATATTCTATTTCCAGGACCTCTAACCATCTCTGTGTACTACTAGAAATTGTGTCTATTTCCTGGCCCTTCTCTGATGATTTTCCTCATTTTTACCATCTCAGTTTTCCTTGTGAAGGCAGGCAGAGTGTTAACTGTTAAGATCGTGTGTAACGTCTTTGAGTTTCCAAGAGTTTGCGTGGTCTATAAACCATGTCTTTATGATGGGATTTGATGTGCTTCTGATTTACAATATTCTTAAAAATTGTTTTATCATTTTCTTTTTGTTTGTTTTTGAAGCTTTTCGATTTAGTGTACAGAGAAGAGACTTTGCTCAATGTCATTAAAAGTGTCACCCGCAATGGACGGTCCATCATCTTGACAGCTGTTTTGGCTCTGATCCTGGTTTACCTGTTCTCAATAGTGGGCTATCTTTTCTTCAAGGATGATTTTATCTTGGAAGTAGATAGGTTGCCCAATGAAACAGCTGTGCCAGGTGGGTTTGGGATCTTGGATCTTTTTTGAATGTTAAGAAGTAGTTCCTGATTATAACTGAATGAGAGAAAATAATGACTTTAGTAGTGCATATACCTTCCTGAAACGTGGAGTATGAGTTGTGAATACAGAACTTAACTTAGCACTTTGCTCAAAGGGAGATACTGTGTATGTGACATGCTAAGAGTGAGTAACCAAATCTTGTAAATTAAATCATTTATTCACAATGTCATATTTTAAACTAGTAAAACCTTTTCATAAAGAACTTGAAGACCTGATGACAGTGCATGTGAAAAACAGAGATACGTAAGAAAATGTTCACTGAGGTGTGAAATGTGTGATGTCAATGTAAGGTGCTGTCCATGGGGTGGAATACCCTGTACATAGGATACATCTTTTTAAGCCTTTGTGGAAAAAGACCCACGAGATAGCGTAGGAAATTACAGAATAGCAACTGTAGGATATTTATATTTATCAAAAACCTCACATCTGTTTTAAAATGTATACCCCCAAAACTGCTAATAGTGGCTATCTGTGAGGCTTTTTTACTATATGCACATTTTACAGTGAGCTCATGTTATCTTTATATAGAGAGAAAAACAGAGATTTCCAACTTTGAGAATGAAAAACAGTGATCACATACTTGAGTGATACCCAAGTACTCTTTTCTCTCAGTTAAAATAGTTGTTCCCTTTGAGTTCTGAACTAAAATGGTCTGGACCTGGATGCACCAGTGCTTCTCCTATAGACTTAGTCTAAATCTTGCTGGAGTTAGTATATTCAGTAGTATCTAAGAGTTTCAGCTGTTTGTCTTACAGTTAGAGAGGTGCTATTTAAGTACGACATTTTTAGTAAGCCTATAGGAATTGACATTTTTGGCTTTTTTCCCATCCAGATCACCAAATGAAAGTGTAAATCACATCTCTGCTTTGAATTTATATACAGAATTGGAGAGTGTTATTTATGTTTAATCAGCCGTGAATTGGGGACTTCAAACATTTTAACTATATGCTGCCAGACTGTTCATCATAAAATTTTTTTCTCACTCCCAGAAACTGGTGAGAGTTTGGCAAGTGAGCTCCTGTACTCTGACGTGTGTAGGGTGGAGAGTGGGGAGAACTGTTCCTCTCCTGCACCCAAAGATGGTAAGACCTTGTAGCCTAAAGCTCCATGCGAATGTTATAGTGCTGTGGGGGCTTAGATGGCGCAGGTGATGTTGGAAGCAGACTGGAGCAAATACACTGTTCCAGCTCAGTCAGTATCACAGGGTGCACACTGTTTACCAGGGACTGTTGTTCTCTAAGAGACAGCAGTGGCCTAGGGGAGGCAGGCAGGTAAAATGGTGATCACTAGAGTATGCTGAATGCTGAGAATAAGGATGGATACAGACACCCAACTAGTATCAGGATAGGGCAATAATCTAGGTGATACCAAAACAGAACTGTGGGCAAAGGAGGAGGGGTAGGTATTCCACAGAAAAGTAGCATATGTAAAGGCTTCATGGTAAAATATAGCAAGTTTAGGGACAAAACAAGTAAGGTAAGTCCCCGATTTGTGCACAAGTTCTGTTCTGGGAGAGTGTTCATAAATTGGATTCGTTCCTGAGTTTGACAAAGTGATGCTTGTACTGTACACCTGTGAAAGTTTGCAACTCAAATGTTCATAAATCAGGGACTTAATATATCTAAAAAGAGAGCAGCAAGAAATGACACTAGCAAAGACTCCACAAAAATGAGGAGTCTTGTATCAGATTAAGGAGGTTAAACTTCATCCAAAGGATGAGCGGGAGCTTCTGAAAGGGGAATAAGAGTGATAAGATGAGATCTGTGTTTTAGCAGACCATTCTCACAGCAGCTGGTGGAGGTGATAAGGTGGGGTTCTTCCTCCAGAAACCAGTAAAAATGAGCACCCTCCGGTGTAATGGCGCTGATCCACTGGACCTGCTGTAAAACATTACCCCCAAATATTGGGATAAGGGGTCATCAAGGAGGTGGGGAACCTGGGACATGTTAGAGATCTTCATTTGAAAAGTGAGATCCTGTAACTCACAGTGCTTAGGCAACTTACCTGACATGAACAGACTACTATATTTGCAGGTAGGGCTAGAGTTTAAAATCTAAAAGGATAGAGGGACTGTTTTAGGTTTAACAGAGGGAGGACATATGCGTTGGCTTGAGGAGTTAGCAGGGCTTGTGGTGCGAACAGTATTGCCTTAGATACCTTTAGCTTGTAAAGGAATTTTCTTTCTTGTGCCTGCCAGCTAGTACGATGGCATTGAGGAAACATTGTCTCAGAACCAGGGCGTCCCTCTTCCTCTCGCATTTTAACTGTGCTGTGATCCCTGTTAACAGAGCTGATCCCTGTGGAAGAAATGGAACAGGATAAGGAGCACACATGTGAGACGCTGCTCATGTGCATTGTCACCGTCCTGAGTCACGGGCTGCGGAGTGGGGGTGGAGTTGGGGATGTGCTCAGGAAACCGTCCAAAGAGGTAAATGAACCCTCAGGGAAGGGGGCATCTAGGGGCAGCTGTGAAAGCACAGCAAGTGGCCTTGAGTGTGAACTGGGTGACGGCAGAAAGAGTTGGCCGGGCTTATCTCCCCTTCTCCTCATGTTAAGACCATGCAGCCGGTCAGCGTGTGCTAAGGGGCAGCCTTTTTCCTCTTAGATGTAAAGGTTGTCTCCCGCTGGGTGGCTCACCCAGCACACTGCTGGAACCCTCCTGGGTACGTCACATGACACTTAGGAGAATTCACCATGCAGACTGAGGGTAAGAGAAAAGAGGCAGCTTTGGGTTTTGAAGTTGAATGCCCAACATAACTCCTGCCAGAGTGGACATGGGGCCACCAGGAGCTGGGCCCTGAGCTCTGTGGAGCAGGGAGCAGGAAGGGAACCACTTAATTCCAATATGTGTCTTCTCCAGGAACCCCTCTTTGCTGCAAGAGTGATTTATGACCTCCTGTTCTTCTTCATGGTCATCATCATTGTCCTCAACCTGATTTTTGGGGTTATCATTGACACCTTTGCTGACCTGAGGAGTGAGAAGCAGAAGAAAGAGGAGATCTTAAAGACCACATGCTTCATCTGTGGTACGTTTCCTCCGGGCTGTGGCGAGTTGGGGAAGGCCGGCATGGCCGAGGCATATGGGGATAGCAGTGGCATGAGGGACGAGCTGTGTGCCTGTGCCCCGTGGGAGTGCACGTCAGTGCGTTCTCTTGAGCCTGTCTCCTCCCCTTGGCAGGCAGCAGGGCTCTGCTTGGCCTCTGTTCTGCCGGGAAGTATTTGGAGTGATGATGAATTCTGTGCAGCAGTTGCCAGCTTGTCTCACGGAATGAAATTCCAGGGAACAGAAATGTGACTACATGTTATTTAAGACAAATGCATCTCAGGGTCTTTTTGTGCTTGAGCTGCCTGAGCTTCTGTTGGTCCCATTCTAAATAAAGTAGAAAGGCAGTCTCTCATCCAATTCCAGCCTGGAGACATTTCCATAGCTGATAGTATCAGGCTTTATGTGAAAAGATATTCTTAACAATATGGTGAAAAATTTGAGAGTTTGTGTTCTGTGCATCAGACATGGGTTTTGATTGGGCTTCTGCTTCTTACTAGCCATGTAACCACAGTTTGGTCATTACCTTCTCTGAACCCTTTTTCCTGACTGCTAAAATAGGTGCAAAAACAGGTGCTTCTCTGCATCACTGAGTCCTAGCACAGGTTATGGCACACTGTGGCACCTGAGACCAAGCAGCAAACTGTTACTTAAAAGAGGTGCATGGGGTAACAGTCACTTGCAGTGTAGCTGCAGGAAAGTGTAGGTAAATGCGGATTAATCATGAGGCATCCGGGAGCTGAGTCATCATTCCAGGATCATTCATAATGGAGATAACTTTCTTACGGGTGTAGATACTTTAAAACGAACATTTTCTTTTTAAAGATTTTAATTCTTTGCTTTTTGCAGCCTTAAAATATTTTCTAAGCATTTTATTTTGATGTAATTTCAGAATTACATTAATGTCACAAAACGAGTACAAAGAATTTCTATATACTCTGCCCCGAGATTTCCCAAATATTAGTATTTTCATGTACTTTATTCACACATATGCACGAGTACATGCACAATTTTTCTGGCAATTTAGGTGTGACTGGCTGATACAGGACCTTCTTATTCCTAAATATTTCATATGTATTTCCTGAAAACAAAAACATTTTCTTATATAGCTGTAGTATAATAATGAAAACTGAAAGATTTCAAACTGAGTGCCTATAATTCTAGCTACTAGGGAGACTGAAGCAAGAAGAAAAGTGCAAGGCCAGCCTGGGCAACTTAGTTAAGGTCTTGTCTCAAATGTCAATAAAGGGGATAGAGAGATCCCTTGGGTTCCATCCCTAGTAACAAAAGAAGAAAAAAAAAAAAAAAGAAAAAGACTTAAAAATATCATTATCTATAGGCTTTATTCAAAATTTTACCCTATATGCCAGTAATGTCCTTTGTAAGCCTCAGGTCATGTGTGGCATTCATTGGTCATGCTGCCTCTTTTGCCTCTGTGGATATTTTTCAGGAATACAGATAAGTCAGTTACTTAAGGGAAAGTCTCTTGATTTGAGTTCCTCTGCTGTTCCCTCAGGGTTAGATTAAGGTTATGCATTTTTTTACAGGAATATTCTTCTCATGTGCGCCATGGCAGGTGGCACGTGGTACCCACTCGTAACTGGTTGTGATGTTAACTGTGATCACTTGGTTAAGGTGATAATTCCAAGATTTTCTCCACTATAAAGTTACTCTTCATGGGTGCTCTGACAATTTCTAACTATCCTGTTATTGCTCAAATTAAACATTCTCTCACAAGGTTTAGCATCCATTAATGATTCTTGCCTCATTATGATGTGGAAAAATGATGATTTTTCTCATTGTATTATTCTCTCTACGTGTGTTAATTGACTTTTCATTTTAAGAAGGAACCTTTTTTTCTTCCTATGCATTTATATTTGTATGTTTGTATTTGTAACCACATGGGCTCATGGATTTTTATTTCATTCAATTGGTTATAATCATCATCTGAGATTTAGCCAGTGAGAACCCTTCCAAGCTGGCTTTTGTGTTTTCTCATGTTGTCATCATTTTCTGTGTTTTTCCTTTTATGGCACATGAGTTTCAGGCTCAAGATACCTTGTACTTTCCCTGACCCAAGCCTTCACTAAAAAGTCATTTTTGCAGAGTCCTGGTTCTTCTTTAATGGAGAATGGTATTTAGAAGCTAGTATTTGGGGGATAGATGTGCTCATTTCTTTTGGTGTCTGCCATTCCCAAGGCTTAAGGGTGGAAATCTATAGGACAGGAGTTTGTATACACATGAATATATCTACACACATTAGATTTCCCTTTCAAGCTTTTTATACATATGAAACAAGACGTGTTTGTACCTGCTACCTCTAATTTCAGTTCACCATTATAGGGTTTATCCCACCTTTCCCTCTCGCCATTATTTGCACAGTTCTAGAATACATAGAAGCGAGTTTAAGAATTGCCTACCCTGACCTCTGAAAAATATAAACTTGGCAGCTAGAGTTTGAAATTTGTTCAATGTTCTTTTTGCCTTGACTCATTCTCACTGAAAAGTTTAACATGCCTACATTTTGGCGTTTCCCTGGGAGAAGGGACCTCAGTTCACTGTTTGCCTGCTGTGTGAGAGTACATCACACATGTTCCCATTTAAGCCCCGCAAACCCTGGAACTTTGGTGGCAGCCTTTCCACTTATCAGTGGAGCAACTGAGGCACATGGAAATTAAGCAGTAACTGGCAAGTAGCAGAGGAGGGATTCAAGCCTAGCGAGGTCACACCCTTAGCCTGTTTCCTTGTGATAGTGTGAAAGTGATTGCATTTACGAGGCCAATAAAGCCAACTCCTTATAAAGTCAGGAGTGAGCTGCTTCTGTACCTGTCCTTCTGTACCATGAGTGCTCAGTTGGGGCTGGGGGCTTTCTGTCTCTTTTTTAGGCTTAGAAAGAGACAAGTTTGACAACAAGACTGTCACCTTTGAAGAGCACATCAAGGAAGAACACAACATGTGGCACTATCTGTGCTTCATCGTTCTGGTGAAAGTAAAGGACTCCACAGAATACACTGGGCCAGAGAGTTATGTGGCAGAAATGATCAAGGTAAGTGGGAAAGGGTCCTGGAGGGAGGGCAGACTGTGGCTGCTGGACTGGCTTCTCAACTCAGAACAGTCCCGGCAGCCCATGGGGGAGCTGCACAGCTGAACACTAAGATCTGATGTTCACTAAGCTTTTGTCATAGATGAGGCACTGCTCTCTGAGCTCTGTGTGTTTGCTCAGGTGACCCTCAGGACCATCAGGCAGCTGCAGTCAGCCTGTTTCAAAGGAAGAAACACTGACTGAGAGATTAGCAAGGGTCATTAAGGATGGAGTCTTAACCTAGACCTACATCTAGATCAGAGTCCACTGCCCAGTTTCCCAACTCCTTGTCAATCTGTCTGTCTTCTCACTAATAATCCCCCTTAAATAAGACCTGGTCTCTAAGAGGTGTCTTAACAGCAAAATGGTCACCTGGTGTGATTCAGCATTGTTGGGGCTCAGCCTGGTCTTCTGGGAGTTGCTCTGCTAATCCTCAGGGAGGGATCATGTGATAGAAGGAATTTGAGTCTTAGATTAATCTTCTTGCTGGTGGGTGGTGTGGAGTGCCATATCCCAGGAAGAGGGTGGCTGCTGCAGGTTTTCAGAGCATTCTTCTCTGGCTGGGTTCCCTGGGGGTCCACGCACATATTATGGGGGTCCTGGGCCAGCTGTCCTCCGAAGACTCTGTGCTTTCCTAATTAATTAAAATGTGTAGGCACGATGTGGTAAAGTGAGGAGGCACAAACTGTGAGATGAAGCGCACCTTGCTGATGTACGCTGGCCCCCTTTCAGGAAAGGCCCTATCAGTACCAAGACGACGTGATGCACTGCCCCGCTTCCCATTACCAAGGACTTGCACGGTCTGCCTATGAGTTATCCTGAAGGAGCCTGTCTGCGTTCCTTATGCAGATGTTGAGTTTTAAGCTTTTCATGTTCACGTGCTTGAAGTCAGATCTGTTCATATAAACATCATCATTTGTGTGCCAAGACACAGGCATGCCTTCCTCAGTTCCACGGGTGACCAGGCAGCTGTCATGTGGTCGTATTTCCTAAACACTCATGCTCCACAGGCTCAGACGCCTCGTGGATGGGCACCGTAACCTGTGAGCCCTGCGTGTCCAGGAACACCAGGTAGCTGCTGTCAGCTTTTTTTCAAAGGAGAAAAAAACTGATGATGAGAGAGACCAGCATGGAACCATCTAACGTGAGCTCCAGAGGACTAGTTCACTAACGTGAACTAGGACTAGTTCACTCACTCACTAACGTGAGCTCCACTAGTATCTAGTGGAGATACTATGCTATCTGTACTTTTGAGGTTCTTGGGATCTAATTCTGTGTTTCTTAGATTTTAGTGTACATATGAATCATCTAGTTAAAATTCAATTTGTGACTCAGCAGTCACTGCTAAGACTTAACCATTTCTACCAGCCTTCCAGGGGCCACCGAAGCTATGGGCTGGGAATCAGCCCATACTACTTCGGAGTAGTAAAAGGCCAAAGAAGAGGCAAAACAGATCCTGATTTAAGAAATTGCCATGCAGACTGTTTTTATAAGACCGCTGAGGAGAAGTGTTTCTAATCCTTTTTCTCTGTGTAGTCCTTTCCCATCTGTGAAGTTCTGTCACATTTAGCATTGGATTTCATCATTAAAATTACCCACAGTGGGAAACCCAGAGGAAAGAGCTTCTGGGGTAAGGAGAAAGGGCTGAGGCGTTCTAGCAGAGATGACTCCTTGAAAGGGTTTTGAAAGAGAGAAGGTGAGGAGATGGGCAGAGATGAGCAGACAGGAAGCAGGAAAAATGAACACGGAGACAGAAGAGATAAAAGACACAAGCTCAAGAATGGGGATGATGGTATACCCCTTTAACCGATGAAAGCCAGGCTAGGGCAGGTGACTTGCCCATGAACAGCTCAGAAGGTACCAAGCCAGGGTTCAGAAATCACACTACCCCACAGCCCTGTGTTGCGAGGCACCTGGGAGGATGCTGGTGAGCCTTGGCTAGGTGGGAGCAGCCTCCTGCACGGGGGGAGATGGGGAATGTGATGGGTGCAGTTTCCAGGGTCGGAGCATGATCACTGAGAAGCCCTCAGATCGTTCCTTCTCCATCTGTGAAATTCTTCAGCCTTCTGGGATTAAACCCAGAGTGCAATGCAGGCACGTTAAACCTTCTATTCTCAGCATACTTGCTAACACAAAGCTGTCCGTATCCGACAACGATCTGTAGTTTTCCCCTGTGCCATGCATCCCTTTCTCTTCTCAGTTTCTTTTCTTCTCTCTAAAGTTTTTGCATGTGCCCTGTCTTCAAATCTTTTGGGGGTTAGTTCTGATGGATTTTTTGTTGCTGTTAATCACTTTACATTACGGTCACAGGAAAGTCAGATGCCCTTTTCGGCTTCTGTCTCGGTTATTAAGACTTAAGGGAGTCTTGTGAGCAGTCACTTGTTGAGGATTAAGAACCACCTTTGCCTACCACCCAGCCCACTGGAGACCTCTGCACAGTGATGCTCTGAGGACCTGACCATTCAGTATGCTTCCCCGTCCAGATGTCTTGTCAAAAAACCTGAAAATCTGTGGCATCCAAGAATTCTTAACTCTGATTGTCAAGTTGCTGAGGAACCAGATGTTTTGTATGCGAAGTGGTGGTGCAGAGAAATGTTAGTCATTGGCTGGGAGGCTGTACCTTTTTGCCGGCACTGTTTGCAGCAGTATCTCATCTTGACGATGTGTAAATCCCAGCTGGGGACTCCCAAAAGAGCGTCTGCCACAGCAGCAAAGGAGCAAGAGGAGCCAGGCTGTATTGTTCAGCAGATGCCGGACACCCCAGCCCCAGACCTGCAGGCTAATGTCCACTGAACAGGGCCAGGCTAATGTCCACTGAACAGGGCCAGGCTAATGTCCACTATGAACCCGGGGAAGAGGTAGGCCTCCTGCTCACTGTTCCTGGAAGTTAAAATTAGGGGATCTGTTTGAGAAGTCAGGCCCATGAGACTATAGGGGGCAAGAGAGAGAAGGAGCATTTAATATTCACTGTCAGAGAAGAGAGGCAAGTCTGCTGGGGGCTCAACACCCTTGTGCTTAGCACATGTGCCAAAAGAAATCTTTGAGACCGGCCGTTTGGGGGCGTGTAATCCTTAAGCCGCCTCTTGCTTAATGGAGGAAGGCTGAGGATGTTTAGTCCTTCCTCAGCTCTCCTTTAGCCCATTGGTGAAGATCCCTGAAGACTTGTGAAGTGACAGCTACTGAAGGCAATTCAGCAGGACCAAGTGGAGAAGCCACTGGTGGTCACTCAGAAGGTAGAAGATCTCCCCAGGCCCTGAGGACAGCTCCTTGTAGATCAGTGCTTCAGGGATGGCAATGGGTTTTATCTTTAAAGGCTAACATCTGGTAGTAGAATCTGCCTGGCCACCATACTGAGATGCATCCTTAGAGGCCCCACCTGACTTTGGGAGAATGACAGGTGATTAGCCATGAATGAGAGCGGTGAGAAGGGCGGCTGTGTGCTGAGCATCGGTCCGCCCTGCCCCTGTACCCGTGTCCCAAAGGTATACTCCTCCCTTGGTGGCTGTCTGGCCATAGAAAACACAAGCCAGCCTTCCTGGATCCAAAACATGACCTTTTTCAACTCCTGGAACTTGCCTTCTGCCAAGGTGATAGAACTACTCCTCTTTGTGAGTGGAAATTGGCTGTTTCTTGCCATCCCTGGAGGGAGGAAAATCTGAAGCTATGTCTCACAGTTGAGAACTTTATGCTGTCTATTCACTCACAAATTAATGTTCCCTTAAACGTAGTAGATCACATTCCCTTCCCTTTCTTCTGGTCATTGCCTTTCTTAATTCACTGAAGGTGACAGTATCCCTGGCCAAAACAGGGCCAGACTAACGTCCACTATGAACTCACCGCTATTCAGCTATTGGATCTGGAAGCAGGAGCTCCCGAGTTTGATTTTTTAGCTGTGCTGCTTCATAGCTGTGTAACCCTGGGCAAGTCATGGGACGCCACTGACCTGAGTTTCCTGTCTGTAAACTGAGGTTAATCCTACCCCACACGTCCATTGTGTGGCAGTGAGAGAAACAGGTGAGACCTGGTGAGCGGTAGGCACTTGCGGAGGGAGGGCAGAGAGGACAGCAGCAGGCTCCGTGCTCAGCAGCCAGGAAGCGGAGCGCCCCGTGCTGACTGAGCATACACTGGGAGTTTTGCTTCCTGGAGTTCCAGGCCTCTGAGGCACCTTGGCTGCTGGCAGTTGTTACGAAGAGGAATCCGAATGGGCATCTTGATGCTAAGAACTCCTGTGGAAAATCCTTATGTCCTCCCCTTTCTCAAATGTTAAATCCTTCATTGTCCTTGAGTTTAGAGGCAGGGCATGGTTGTTGTCACTTTCTCAGTTATGTCACTTTCTTCAGCTTGTCTCCAGGGCTCCTTGCTATCAGGAAGAGATCCAGTGCTTATGCATTCTGTTCCTTGTGTTTAGTGGTTTCACCTGCTTTCGTTGCTAAGCATTAGACTGGGATGGATTTGAGGAGCCGTCTGTGGGTTCTTACATTGTAGGAGATTATACTTAGTTTGCTGATGACTTCTCCCTTTGCTTGAGCGTCTGATGGCAGGCGATTCTGTGATTCAGAAGTGAAGGGAAGCTCAGCCTTTTCCCTGCATCCCGCGCACACTCACTACAGGAGAAGCAGGCTCACTGTTAGTCTCCAAACCCTAGGCGGACTGTGCTTTGGAGACAGGAAAGTGCCCAGTGCCCTCACCACAGCCCCTGGCTGTTCAAAACAGGAGGGAAAACTTACCTTTTCCACAGAGGAACTTGTAGTTTGGAGTTTGGTGCTTGCCTATTTTAATGAGCAATTTTTTTTCTTTTTGGTGCTGGCTACTGGGACTTTCATTTTTTCCTTTGAGACAGGCTGGCCTGGAACTTGCAGTCTTCGTGCCTTAGCCTAGAAGAAGCTAATAAGCAAGCTTCAATTAGCCTTGGTCTGCATTTAAATTTTCACAATTTATGTGGCACATGCCATTTTTGTGTAATT